ACACTAATAATAACAAAAAATATCGATCTTTCTCATCAAGACCTGTTCATATTTATTTAAACAACGGAATTGCTTTAAACGCGAACGATATTTGGGATGATGACATGTCGCAAAATCTACGAATCAAAAAAGAAATATATATATATATATATATATATATATATATATATATATATGATGAACTTTTGTACAAATAAAGATTGGGCCAAGCGAGTTTTAATTATCCGCAGGAATAACAATTTTAACTAATGACTGTAGAAAGGGGAATCCTTATCATGGTTATGCTTGCTTTGTTGTATTATACCTTTTTGGGCAAATAAAGCACTTCGGATACTTTGATTTCTTCCAACTGCATGGATTAAATAAAAATTTTACATTATAGAAATACTTTAGATCCTTTAACAGCTGAAAATGAAAAATACAAATTTATTATAGTGAAAATATTTTCGCTATTTTAAGCTTTTATAATTTATTCATATTTCAGAGAGCGATTAATACATACTTTGGTTCTTTTAAATTTTTGACTAAAATTAATTTTTGTAAGAAAATTAATTATTTCTTTTGGCACAAAAAAGCTTACCTGTTCGTTGTTCTTCCCGTGTTCTTTTAGTTTATCTTGTACTTTTTTAATAAACGAAACAGGAACTCGACTTTTATAATAGTCGCCTGTGGTGTATGTAACTTCAGAATTCTTACTATTTGATTAGCCATCAGTTTGTTGTACATCTCGCAGATGAAATTAACATTCTCATCCGTTTTACGTGCCTGCAGAAGTTGTGATGCTTCTATGACGGGTTACAGCTCTTCGAACATTTTCTAGTCGTTCATCTCTACCCCATTGTTCTATTCGGTACCTCAATAAAAAACACATTATATTAATGTAACAAATATATATATATATATATATATATATATATATATATATATGCAATATATTCTATTGCAATATATGCAAATAACAAAACTAAGAAGGTAAGGTAACTAAGTAGAGGATTAAGATTATATAATTTTTATTCTTTTCAATTTAAATCTTAAACGAATTAGTATTGTTATCAGAATATAAAATAATTTTATTAAAAATAAAAACAATTTTTGAAAGTAAAAATTATTCATTAATATTTGATTTCATCTTCAATCATTATCATTTTTGAAAACGCATGAAAATATTGTAATAATAAAAGAATAGGCAAAAGAATAAATAATTTTTAATTTAAACGATAATTTAATTTTTAGACTACACAAACGAATGACTATAATATGATCAGAATATTTTAAAGTAATTAAATTGATTAATAAATTTCGAAATAAATAAGTGTTTGTAACAGTATTTACAGAATTCTACCTTTTTAAGATTTTTAAGCAAGTCTTTATTTTTCCACTGCTTTCTTTGTTGTATATGGAACATTTTATTCAATAATTATAAACTTCGTTTTTTCAATTTAAAATCCCAAAGTTTTTTGGATGAATTTTATGGCAACGAAAGGTTTGAACTTATAGAGTCTCTCTTTCATATATATATATATATATATATATATATATATATATATATATATATATATACGAGGGTAGTTCGAAAAGTTCTCGGCCTGGCAAAAAAAACACATGATTTCCAGCAAAAATCTTTTTTACTTTTCAACATAGTCCCCTTTCAACTCAATACATTTAGACCAACGATGTTCTAATTTTTTTATACCCTCAGTATAATACGATTTGCTTAAGCCTCCAAAATAAGCATCCGTCTCAGCGATGACCTCCGCATTTGACGTGAATTTTTTTCCAGCAAGCCATTTTTTCATATTCGGAAACAAAAAGAAGTCACTGGGAGTTAAATCTGGCGAGTACGGTGCGTGTGGTAACAATTCGAAACGCAATTCATGGAGCTTTGCAACTGCAATTGAAGACGTGTGAGCGGGTGCATTGTCGTGATGGAAAAGCACTTTTTTCTTTGCCAAATGAGGACGTTTGGTTTTAATAGCATCGTTCAATTGCTCCAGCAATGCTGCATAATATTCCCCATTGATGGTTTTGCCTTTTTCTAGATAATCTATGAACACCACACCTTGCGAATCCCAAAAAACAGTCGCCATGACTTTTCCGGCTGATGGAACTGTTTTTGCCTTCTTTGGAGCACTTCCACCCGCTTCCACCCATTGTTTTGATTGTTGTTTCGTCTCTGGCGTGTAATGGTGAATCCATGTTTCATCGACAGTGATAAATCGTCGCAGAAATTCGGTTGAATTGCGTTTAAACAAGTCCAAGCACTCTTGAGAAATGTTCGTTCGAATGCGTTTCTGATCGACCGTTAACAAACGCGGCACCCATCGCGCTGAGAGCTTTCTCATATGCAAATGTTCATGTAAGATATTGTGAACACGATCTATTGAGATGTTTGCAATGTTAGAAAGCTCACGCACTTTTACTCGTCGATCATTTAACACGCTATCGTGGATTTTTTGAATGATTTCCTCATTCGTGGCGGTTTTCGGGCGACCCGAACGTTCATCGTCAAAGATGGATGAACGGCCACGTTTAAATTCAGCAGCCCATTTCTTCACTGTTGAAAATGATGGAGAAGAGTCTCCCAAAGTGGAATCCAGCTCGTTTTTTATTTCTGTTGCCGTTAATCCTTTTAAAACGAAATATTTTATGACTGCGCGATATTCAATTTTATCCATTTTTGGAGAAGTATCAAATCTTGTCTGTTTTACTCGAGCACAGTAAACAAACTAGCGAACGAATCTGTCTGAAACTGTGCGGTATGCCCTCTGAGGGATTAAACTTGAGAAAAATCATAGCCATTTGATATTCTTAGCGACATTTCTATATTAGGCCGAGAACTTTTCGAACTACCCTCGTATATATATATAATATTTTTGATATTTGTATAAATAAAATATTTAAAAATTATACAAGACAGACGATTAAAATATAAACAAATATTAATTAATGCTTTTAAACCCAATCAAAAACAACGTCACAAATGTATCTATTTATATGATTAATTATCTTATATTTGGATATAAAATTATATATTTGTAATATATATACGACCTATAATATTGTTACGCACGCGCCCGAGTCGTTATGGCCTTGCCGTTGTCCGGATTCCGTTGGAAGAAGAATGTTTATCAACAACGAAAGTCAGCTGACTCTGGAGCTAGCTGTCAAGCTGTGCGGGCACGTTCTACATTCGAGCCGATCTGTGGTGTTATTATTCTGTATTATCGTTCAGTGTTACCGTTTGTGTTGTTAAGTTGCCTATTAAAGTTCTCGTTACCTTTGAAAATGCCTATTTATTTCCCGCGTCTCGCGAGCGGCCGATTTCTTAATGCGCATCTTCGATATATATCGAAGTTCTCGCCCCGGGCGTAATAATATTATAGATTATTTTATATTCTTTAATCCGTAAGAAAAGAAATGAGAATTTGTTTCTATCGATTAACACACAAGTTATCGAGACATGAATAATAAACTTCCCTTTTCTTAAGCAATAGCAATCTAATAGCAATACCTAACTTCAACATTATTTCAAAAAATATGTAAATATCATTGAACATATAGAATAAAATTATTTTTCGATATTACATAAATTCTACGTTACAACAGAAATAATATAATTTTTAAATTACAAATAATTAGTAATCGAATTATTAGACGAATTATTCTTTGCGGATAATCGATAATTAATTCTGCAATATTAAATTCGGTGACAGATATTTTTTGGTAAGAAACACATATATGTATTAATAATTTGTCAAGATTTTAAATTTATATATTTTTAAGTGGATTCTTACAATTTATTACAAAAGATATAATCATCAATAAACATATAAGTAACGATATAATGTAATACATACATAAATGTAAATTATCTGACACAAGAAATTAATAAAATAAAATTTTATTTATCAAATGTAAAAGTCTTGCTAAAAATCGGATAATGTGCGATAATTAATATTCATGTATATTAATTAATACAAAATGTATATTAATTAATGTATATTAATTAATACAAAATACGGAACATTTACAATACGACAATTACATACGTTTTTACGAATCATATATTTTTAAATATATTTTCAAAATTACTAAATATAGTGTTCGATAAAATCGTACATTTTAATTATATTAATATAAAATTTTATATTATATAATATTATTAGTAAAATAATATTATATTAATAAAAATATGTAATACTGTAAAAAATATTTTTGCAGAAATTTTTTTACAAAAATTACTTAATAACTAATTATTATTAAACAGCCCTTTAAATATTATGTCTATAAATTTATGTAATAATTAGTTAAATATATTGTATAAATTAAATTAATTGAGTTAATAATATATATATATATATATATATATATATATATATATATGTATGTATGTATGTATATATATGTGTATACATATATATATATATATATATATATATATGTATATGTATATATATATATAATATATATATATGTAATATATATTATATAGAATTATATTATATATAGAATTGTATTAATTATATATATATATATATATATATATACATATATATATATAAAATTATATTAAATTAATTATACATATATATTTTTTAATAATTAATTTATATTAATAATTAATTATTTATACAATTTTTATAATTTCCAAAATTGATGTTAAATTTAAATTTAAAAGAATAATGATGTTCTTTGTCAGATAAAAATTGAGAATTATTTTATTATTATTTTTTATATTTCGAGAAAAATAAAATTGTGTTATAATAATATTACAAAAATAAATGTGTATAATAAATCGGAAAAATAAATTACCACGTCGTTTGATGTAATTTATTATTCTATTGATTTATTAAAATTATTCGAAATATTTTTATTTATTAAAATCATACAATTTTGCAAATCTCAAAATTTACAAATGTGAAAAAAATGATCTAAACAAATTATATACTTACATTATTACACACGTATTATATATATTTATCGTACTTTATTTCATTTATAAAAATATATAAAAACTAATCATGTATAAGAACATATGTGTTGTCTAAATGATTTGGAGTTGAGAATAAGGATTTAACGTAAGAAACGTTAAAAAACTTTATCATTTATTACAGATATGTGACTCTTTGCACTAATGCGCAAAACATCAATGTTAACTTTCCGAATTAAAGTTTAGCCTCACGTGACAACTGCAAAATTAATAATATATATTATTAATATTGTTAAAATAATAAACTAATTGTTGATATATGTATATATATATATATATATATATATATATATGTATATAATAATAATAAAAAGGCGAGACAAGTTTAGAAACATATTCTGCTTATGATATGGTTCAAAATAAAATCACCTTAACATAGCTTTAGAAACGCTGTCTTTCCAAACTATAACAATTTGCATACAAAATAGATTACTAGAAATAATATTTTTCCGCTTATTCATTTACATCGATTTAAAGCTTATACATTTTTATTTATAAGGCTCAATCTCAAAGTTTTTGCTAATGTTCTTATTGTTATTCGGAAAGCTTTTATATTAATACTTTATGTCACAAAATTCGAAATATTTTACGAATTTTAATATCTTTGATGTAATTATGAAATGTTGATAATATATGAAGAAATGTTTGCCGAAAAAAATTTTCAGCATCATTTTTAACGAATTATTTATTAATGTTATTAACGCCAAATTCTATAACAAAACATGTTAAAAAAGAAAACGTTTCTAGATTTACGTTTCATAATTATATAAATTTCTTTAAATCTGTGTGCGCCATGTTAGAATATACTTTTATATTTCAATTATTTATTTCTAAAACATTATATGTTTTTAATGATATTCATATTTATTTGGTTACATTATTCTTATTTTTATGTCTCAAAAAATGGTGTACAGATTTAAGATTACTTTTCAGTTTATAATTTACTTATTATTAATTTATTTTATTTACGTATTATATTGAAGTATTTTTCCAATCCAAGTAATTCTATTGTCCCGATGTATAATTGACAGCTTGTTCATTATCTTGATTGCGGCGAAACAACCAGTTGTACAAATTTCGGAAAGATAGTGTACAACTTGCAAACTTACTACCGAACTTCCTACATTTGTAATCAAAATTCGTATATAGTTAAAAAAAATGTTTTTAATAATATGAAAATTTATAATAAATTAATCAATACTTGTAACATAACAATTAATAATTATTAGAATAAAATTGTTGGAATCATATACTGACTGCAATAAAATAATTATAAATTTAGTGATATTATATTTATCTGAATTTTATTCATAACCTTTATAATATAGAATTTTTCGAAAAATTAGCATAGCATTTTTCGAAAAATTAAAATATTTATTTTAATATTATACTTATTTTAATATAAAAAATATTTTAATATAAATAAATATTTATTTTAATATTATATTGATAATATCACACTTATATTGATTTTAATATCTACTAGACAACGCAAAGCGCGCGCTTCGCGCGCGCCCTTTATTTCCTTTTATTATATATACATTTCTCACTGTCACACAAGCTGTCAAAATTTGTAATAATCGCAAATGACAGCTGCTCACAACATGAATTGAGCGCAATAAAAAAACCAATCGGCATCGCGGAAAAACGGCAACAATTCAAGTGTCACATGCTTTTTTCATACAGGGTGTCCCAAAACTCATAATCAATCTTTCAAAGACAGATTCCTGGGATCATCTGAAGACGATTTTTCCTCAACGAAAATATCGAGGAACTAATAATTTTCGAATTATAAGTGATTGGAAATAAGGGGTTTTTCGTAAACTAAGCTTTGCAGAAATAAAATATTAACAAAACCACATTCTTCGATTAATTTTAAATAGAGTTTACTTTAGTTGAGTTTTAATTTAAGGCTTAATTGCAAAGATATATGATGACAAAAATCGGGAGCATGCAAAAAATGATGGCCTTCATCGACATTTTCGCTGAGGAAAAATCGTCTCCAAATGATCCCAGAAATCTGTTTTTGAAAGATTGATTATGAGTTTTGGGACACCCTGTATAGGACTATAGGATATAATTATTACATGACTATTGCACCTTAAATTCGTATTAATATTATGAATTTAAATCAAAATTTTCTTTTCTTATACTGCATTAATATATACATATGTATGTAAGACACCTACTTACGTCCTCCTCGCTTTCCACACACATACACATATATTACACAATCATCCATACATGTGTATACACAGAGATGCATACACATAATAACACATTTATTATAATTCCGTTAATTAAATCAAGTATAAAAATAAAATTTACCTCCAAATATAATATAAAAGTAAGAAGGATAGGAAAAAATTGTAAAAGTATATGATTCCTTTTAAAACCTCAGGCGATAAATTATTTGATACTTCTTTTTTCATGTTATCCTCATTATGAGTCGATATGTTATTGGTTTTGTTATTTGTTTCATTGAAATTAGTATATTTATTATTATGAGTTAGGTTATGTACGCAAACTAAAAAATAAATCATATTATTAATTTAATTTATAAATTGAGATGACTCTTGTTATCAACATTGTTTCCTTCATCTCACAAAAGAATACAAATTTAATAACATTATTCATAAAACGAAATTCATAATTGGTACATTAATCTTCTTACAAAAAATAATATATAGTTCTAATATATAGTCATTATTAATTTAGCTTATTAACAGTTAACGTATACTCATATATACGTATATATATATTAGTAAAAGTGTAACCATGTGTGCAATAAGTCTGTATTATGCGTGCTCGTGCACGTTACTTTTTCTCTATATAGATTTAGAATATATATTTTTCTATAGCTATTCTTTAATCAATTGTTTTATATTCTTTATACATATGTACTTTTGGAAAAATATTGAAAGAAAGAGAGAAAGAGAAAACTAAAAATCACAAAATCATCAAGTTCTATCATTTAAATAAGTGCTTTCGATTATAAGTATGAACTAAATAAATCTAATTCATTTTATACAAATATTATTATACCAATTATTATACAAGTTATAATTATTATACAAATGATTATTTTACTTGGTATGCATGAGATAAAGATCATAATAATCATTAGTGAGAATATTGAGCTTAAAAATTTCCTTATGATTTCCTTTATTCTAGCAACAGGCATGACGGATACTCGTTTAGCGCTTTTCTTCTTAAATTTCAATAATAATCGAGATTGCAATCTTATCGAACCTTTTTTATTCCGTTAGTAATATTACGATGCTATATCAATTCTAGAAAACAAAATTATTTAATATATATTTTTTGCCATGCTTATCGGAAAACACAGATTTGAAACGAAACAGAAAATAAATTTTTTAATCGAAATCACATTAAAAGAGACTTTTAGGATAAAATGGAAAAAAAATTAATATATAATATATTTTTTTATTAGTATATAAAAATAATAAAAAATAGTTGTGATTACAAATATTTAAAAAAATGCAATTTGGTATTATTACTTAAAATATGTTTCCCAATATTTCTATCATAAATATTTTGACTGATAATATAAATAAGTTTAAAATATTTGTAATCAGATAGTGTAATAATGGTGTTAAAATATATAAAAAAGAACGAGTCTGTATTGCCTGTATCTTTTGAGAATTTTGATTGACGTTACATAATGGTTCGAATAAATTTGTAATAGTTTGAACGGTACAACAAATTATAACGATCACATGGTAATTTTATTCTAATAATACTTAACAACAAAAATAGTGTAAAAAAATAATATATATATTTCTTGGTATTTCTTAAATCTTATAAATTTCATTTAATTTAAAAAAATTATATGAATCATTAACATTAAAAAGAATTCAATTTAAATGGTGTTATAACTTCATAATGTATCTTAATAATAATTGAATAAATTTCAAAAATTAACAATTGTATCAATTGTAAATTATTTCTTTTTTATAAGAAGTACAACTGAATCAATCGGATTGTATAATCATAATCATCAGTGTCCGAGAAACATTATCATGACAAATAAACTGCTGTTTCTATGCATGATCGTATCACCTAGCATAAACCAGAATTTAGGTTTCTCGGCAATTGCTTTCCCGTCCTGGTAGTTATTAATTTTAGTTTTGAAAAGAAATTACGTGCGCGAAAGCTCGAAAATTACATCCTCTTTATGTAATTCTTATGTTGATCTTAATAATTAAAAGAAAAAAATAAAATATAAAATCTTAGTGTTCAAATAACGGGTTCTGCAAATCGAGTTTATAAAAATATATATAAGCCGTCCACAAGCTAAAGATTAACTCCATTTGTTGATTTTTTTCAAATTTTAGTGCCGAAGCACTTAATTGATCATGCAATGCTAGATTAAGATAAATGATGATTCTCATAGTATGTAAAGCAAGTAATAGAGATATAAAAACTTGTTTGCTTCAATCAAAACGTTTAAAATCGCAGAAGAGCAAAATTCTATAACTGAAGGGCAAATACAATGTATACAAAAAATAAAATTACATTACAGTTTCGCACACGCGCACAACTATAAATTCATAATATTCAACATCGTTCCTGTAATTTCTATTGATTGTATAACCAAGACATTCTCATTGTCAGTTTCATGAATTTTCTGATGATTAATTAAATCTAATATATCATCTCACATGTATCCAGAGAATCTTTAAGTTTATATTATATTCTGTTGATTAGAATATAATTTATAATAATAGGATTTAAATAGCGATAAAAATTGTTAAATAGTTTGATATCAAATCTTATTAGATTTTTAATCAATTCTTTTGCTGACTGAATGCATTTGGAACATATTTTACATACATACTTTACATTTATTTTCACGCTAATATTTTTCATAAATTTCAGAATCACGAAAATAATTTAACAATCTTAATTATCTGAATTTACGTTAAGAAATATTTGTCAAATGAAAGAATTCGAACACTGAGAAAAATAATCGGTGGAAAGGTAACGAACGGATATTATCCGATTATTAATCGATCACTTTAATCGGATATCTGATCGGAAAGTTCCAAATTTTGAACTTTCTGATCAGATATCCGATCGATTGATATTTTCTGATTGGATATCTGATCGGTTTCTTTTTTTTTCCGATTAAAGTGATCGGTTAATAATCGGATAATATCCGTTCGTTACCTTTTCACCGGTTATTTTTCTCAGTGAAATATCGACTCAAGAATGAATAACTAGAAGTATATGATCACGTTCGTGCATTATGCGACATATTGAACCGAAACGTCTCTTTGATCTCCCTCGGGGAACTAAAACGATGAGGAAATCCTTGGCGCGCAATTTCACGTCAGAAAAGACATGCCTCCTTCGAGGATGCGTATGAAATATCTGGTATCTCCTCCTCAACGATTATTTATGAACAATACCTTAACTTAGAGCTCTCTCGTAATTATCACAATCGGTCGAAGCACCTGTGGTCAAAGCTGGGATAAAAGAAGCCTCTGCACAAGACGACGCAGCAAAGGTGACGACGAGGACGACGATGAAAACGAAGTGTCAACGGTTTTGGTCACATGCGTTCGAAAGTTAAAAGCGCTATGAATATTCTCGACTTCATCGGGTTGTACATATTATCACACCGAGGTCACAACATGTTTATTTTGCTTTCTTCTTCCTTTCCTTCTCTCGAATCTTCTCTTCCGGCTCGCTTCGTTTCTCGGGGATCCGCGGGAAAATTAAAAATGTTTTCATATTATATGCAAATTATTATGAGAACTTTAATGATTATTTATACATAAAAAACGATCAGTTTTACCACTTTAACGTAAGAAGCATGAGAAATAATGGGGTAAGAACTGTCAATGGCTTCCCATACAGCACAGAAGCTTGCTGCAACGTTGCTGCAATGTTACAATATTGCTCACTGCAATGCAATGTTGCAGCAATAATGCAGAGACATTATTTTGTTAATATTAGTTTGGCAATGTTGCAGTAACGTTTTAACATAGCGAAAATGTATAACACGTGTTTCTTTATTTGCCGCTACACGACGACACCCAATTTAACTAACTCGTATTCGAATTCATCTAACAAGGATATAAGGTCTACAAAGGATTAATGTAGTAATTATATTTCTTGTATTGTGTCAGTTTAATTTCTGGCGATAAACTGACTTGATTTACTTAATATTCTGAATCCTAATGAGAGATCTAGATTATTAAACAAATAATTTGTTGTCTTTCATTGGGTTTCAGAATATTAAACAGATTTTTCTTAATTTAATGGGTAAATAGGAAATAATTCATTTATTGCACGTATTAAAATATTCTGGGGTCGAATGTATGTAAAATAATTGTATGTAATATTATTGAGATAAATATTTAAGAAACATCTAGTAAAAACGCTAATAGATGTTTTTTAAAGGCATTTTTTCCTATCTTTCTTAAACATTTTTTTATATTTTCAAAGTTTATTTATTAAATTTAAAACGGTGTCTGCATTTGTTGCAAAACACATTTTAATATTACAAATACGTTGCATCGTAACATTGCTGCAATATTGCATTGCAATATTTCTACAAGCGGACATTTTACCGTTGCTGCAATATTGGAGCAACGTTGCAGCAACATTTTGCAACATTTCTGTAATGTTGCAATCTTGCAAAGAAAGATTTCTGCAATGTTGCTGCAATATTTCTGTGCCGTATGGGAATTTATTTTCACTTTAGCAACAAATAAATCGTGCCACATCGGTTCGAGGTATAATTGTGTAAGCGGTGATTGGGGAGAAAAGGAGCAATGTGTGTGTAGGCACGCGGCGAAGGCTCCTCCCCTCCTTTATCACCCCCAGGTAGATGACGTCTAAAGACGTCTTTAGACGTCATCTTGCTACCTGGGCCGTTTCACCGCGCGCCGCCATTATGTTACAGTGAGATCAACTTCGCGCGTTTCTATTCACGCAGATTGGCCGATTTTCTTTATTTTTCATTAATTATTGCGAATATTGCATAACTGTACAAGACTTTTCTTCTAACTTTGAGCCAATCTACCTTAATTTTTTAAAGTGATGCTCACTTTCATGACACCCTGTACACATATAATATATACACATAATTATATATATAAATATAATAACATAATTCCTTTAATTAATGGAGATATACAAAATAAAAAAGTTATCTTATTTAAATAGACATATATAATGAATAAAGTATAAATATTTTAAATTTATTTCTCGAGCAAATAATTGAGGAAACATTTTGATGCTATAATAATGCGAATAATTAATTTCTTTAATGTGATTTATTCTAAAGCGCCGCATTTTGTTCCTAGTATTTTTTTTTAAACTGGAGTAAAAAAATATTCATAGAAATATAAAGCAACAAAAAAATAACAAATAATTTTAGTATTGTTAATTTTTTGCTTTGATTTATATGTCATTTTTTGCAATGGCATGATATAATCTCATACTAGCCCTTTATAACTTTTTAATGAGTGCAGCAAAAACATTACTTTTGAAAGCAAAAAAGTGGCAAATTAATTTCATGTATAAACCCATACAGCACGGATTGTTGTTACACATTGCCGCAATATTGCAGCAATATCTCACATAGCATGCATATCCAAAAGATGTCCAGAAGGTATTCAGAAGATATCTTTGGGCGATTAGACATCTTCAGGATGTCCTGTTAATGTCTTTTGGACATAGGATGCTATATGGGATTACATTATGTCACAATATTACACAATATTACTGCAATATAACAATGGTCTGTGCTATATGGGAATTATATTCTGATAATTTGGCTTAGATAGCTTAATATACTTCATCAAATCGTCGAAAAGTGGTTCTTCTCCATGACAACATTCGGCTCCATGTTGTTATAGCCATGAAACAAACACTGATGGAGCTTGAATGGGAGATTCTCTCGCGCCCAGCGTATTCTTCGGACCTGGCCCCAACCGATTATCATCTGTTCTGATCGATGCAACACTAGCACTGATGCAACATGCTTTGGAAGATACCTTTTCATAATTACGAAGAAGTCGAAAATTGAGTTGCTGAATAAATTGGCTCAAAAGATAGACCGTCGTGGAATTCAACTTTCTACCAGAAAAGTATGAAAAAGTAATAGCTTCCGAAGACGAATACTTTGATTGACGTATTCACACATTTTGTTATTGAAAATAATGCTCAAAAAATACAGCAGCTTTCAAACCTCCTTAAGGTAAGATAATCGAAAAATGAATATTTTATAGTTTATGTAAAATAAAAAAATTATTTCATGCTTCATAACTTGAAAAGTACTCAATGAAAAAATATTTTATTATAGTGTTTTAAAAATCTTTCAAAATAAACTATAAAAATATACAATAAATAATATTCTATTTAAAAAATTGGAAATGACCCTCAAATGACTATCCAATATCAAATCAATGGCATCATTATGTCCCCCTTTGTATCAAACTTTGAAACATTTTTTTTTTAATATTTTCCTGAGCAGATATTCCAGAGTATTCTTTAAAATGGGGCACCCTGTACAAGGTGTATACACTTTGGAAAAATCACTAAAGGTCAAGTCCATATTTTCATCATATAGTCCTCTTGAAGTCATGCAACTTTTGTCTGAAACATTTTTAACTATCGAGTTCAGTTTTTAAGATATTCGGTTCGACTGTTTAAAATAAGATACTTCTTGTATACATAATGTATGCAATTTTCATGTATAATTCTTTATAATACACATACAAACATTAAATATAATTTGCATCTCTCTCTGTTATTGCAATTGCACAAAGAAAAATTTGAATACTTATATGTAGAATAACAAAATTTCAATAGATACAACAGATAACCAAAAAGAGTAAAACTACTATAAAGATGGAAAACATAACTTTTCTTATACAAAACACTAAAAATAAAATTATATAAAAGAATTAATGGCAATGAAAGATATTTCTTTTCTATTTAGAGGGTCTCTATAATATCTGCATATTAAAAAAACAATATTTTATAATAATGTTTTATATTATAATGTTTAATTAATATAAATAAAAAATAAACTAACCAACTCTCTTGCAACAGCCTAATCTCTTCAAAATGTACATAAAATTGTTTGTATAATAACTCATAATTGTTATTGATATAACAATTATCCTCTGCATATATAACTTTTATAAATCACTATTGTCCAAGCATATATAGTTAAATTAGAGACAGAACAAAACTTATACTGGGGATGTCAAAAATATTTTAATAATTTATTCATATATATATTTTTGGGAAGATATATGTTTTTAAATATATTTTGGAAAGAATGTGCATTATATCATGATTATTTATAAACAAAAATAATATAAGTTAATATTTAATACAATCATGCTTTATCTATCTTCATTTTTATAAAATATATCAAATTTGCTGGCTGTAATTTTTAAATTTCTTTTTTAATCACATATCAGTCATGATATATAAAATTAATTTTTTTATTTCAACATCTTCCATTTTAGATTTTTCTCTATTCTAAATAAGATTTTCTCAATTTTCACTTTTGCATTGCTCTTCTATTAATCGTATTTGTCACATGGTTACGATACATTAGAATAAAAAAAATGAAACAAAATAGTCATTCTCATTCTGTTTATGTGCTATTAAAATAAAATTATAAATTGAGAAGAAATCTTAAAATAACGGAAATTGATTGAGAATTATTGTACATTTTTCAAAAGTACACGTTCATCTAATAAATTATAAAAACATTTATGACACCCAACATACATTAAACATATATCTTTATTTCTTCTTTTTATTCTTCAAACTCCTGCGTGTCAGGCCCCAAAATGTTTTGGGTCTTAAACTATTATTCACTGCTGTAAATTTCCAACCGACGTGATGATGACAACCTTTACAAATAGCTATTGTCCAAGCGTATCTAAAATCATATGCGCAATTATCAGCAATGAAAAATAAACGTTACACATTTTGAATGTGTTTCCGATGAACGTAAACATTGCAACTTTACCCCGGAAACCAACTGTATTCCGTGGAAGGGGCTGCATCACTGAGCATAACTCCTTGAACATGATAAAAAGTTATAGTTTCGTGTATAACGCCACCGGGATTGACATAAGTACCCTGCGGACCTTCCTTATTCATCGGAAACATGTGCGATTGTCTTCCGATAAAGGATTCACAATTAACGCACACGTAGATTTTATCCTTTAAATAATAGTTCAAATTTTAAAAAAAGACAATATATCACAAAAACAACAACGCAAACGTTATCTCACATGTATTTATATATTTATATAAATATATAGCGTTTTGTTTCATACGTAAATACCTCCATAAGATACTTTAATTCTCTTTGTAATCGAGAAATCGCGCAATCGTAACTTAATAACATGAGTCTCTCTTCATGATCCATTAGAATATTTTGTGCAACCCAGAAGGATAAATCTATAGGGTCTTTAGGTATACTACCACCTCCTATAAAATACAATTTTTATACAATAAAAGGCTTGAATCTGTTTACATATTTTTATTTATATAATTGTAACCTACTAGTTTCAAGAAACTGTAAATGCTGACGTATTCTAAAGGAGAGTCTTATGGGATCGTACTGTCTATAAACCCAAGCTGGCCAAGCAGTCACCGCAGCATCCAAGTTCTCTACTCTCTCTTGTTTTTTCATATCTTCTTCAGAATTAGAAAAAATTCTCAAGCGATCTAATGAGGCCAAACGTTGGTTTAAAAATGGTGGCCCAAGTGTTATCTCTGGTAGCACTTTAACATTGGCCGAAATTTTATTGTGATCCTGATTACAATATCAAAATCTTGTAAACAAATTATAATGAACATAGTAAATTATAAATATATGATATAATATCTATATAACTATAATATACAGTGCCTACCAAAAGTTCCGAGACGGTCGAATATTTCATAAACTATGTACTTTAGAAAGAAATGTTTCAGACAAAAGTTGTATGGCTTGAAGGGGGCCATAAGATGGTGTCATTGGTTTGACTTTGAAAAGTCGTTTGAAGGTCACGTGAAGGTCACTTTCAATTTTTTAAATGAAACTACGTATTTTTTATTACATATCCGTATAGCTTATCCGAGAGCTTTCCAAAACATTATAATAAAGTATTTCTTCATTGAGTACTTTTCATTGAGTACTTGATTGAGTTATGAGGTTTGAAATAATTTCTTAATTTTACATAAACCATAAAATATCTAGTAAAATATTCATTTTTCGATTATCTTACCTTAATACTTTTATGTACAATATAATAAGAGGAATCAATTGGTGTAAAGAAAAAATATAGTTGTTTTTTTTTTAAAATATGTAATTTGCAATTAACAATTATATTTTTTTTTCAAACTATGCGTTTTCTTTACACCAATTGATTCCTCATTATTTTGTACATACAAGTATTAAAGTGAGGATCGAAAAATCGAAAAATGAATATTTTACAAGATATTTTACGGTTTATGTAAAATTAAGAAATAATTTCAAGCCTCATAACTCGGAAAATACTTAATAAAAACTAACTTAATTGTAGTGTTTTGGAAAGCACTCGATGTGAGCTACCAGAATATTCAATAAAAAGGTGGTTCCATTTAAAAAATTGAAGGTGACCTTCATGAGACCTTCAAACGACTTTTCAAGGTCAAACAAATGACACTATCTTATTGCCCTCTTCAAGCCATACAACTTTTGTCTGAAACATTTCTTTCTAAAGTGCTATAGTTTATGAAATATTCAACCATTCCGGAACTTTTAGTAGGCACTGTATATATCTAAAATTGAGAATTATAATATCTATATCCTGATCTCTCATTGCAATTGCATTAAATTATAGTGTTAGATAAAATAAATAATATAAATTCTTTAGTTGTGAAAATTATTTTATAATTCTGCATTACTCACAAATTTTAATAATAAAATTAATTATACAAATTCAGGATTCATGGAATTAATAAATCTTAAAATATGATTACAAGATCTAGTTTTACTATAAAAGTGAAACACATTCAGATTGAATTGTGTATACATTCATCCATGCAACATAATAAAAAAGAGAATTTTCAGGATGTTTCACAAATTCATATTATTGAACAAAGGTAATGTATATGAAAAATCTAAATATTTCGAAAATATAATTCAATATGACTACAGTGAAATAACGGGAATCTTAAAGCTAAACTATAGAATATTTTACCTCCTTATACAAGTACCAAAATTATTAAATTGTTATTTTAAGAAACATAAATACAATAAACAGCCTGATACGAGCTAAACTGTGGATGGTAGGTCAGTTAAAAAAACAAAAGATTAAAAAAGAATGTCAATAAGTCGCATTTATTAAGAGAGCGACAAAAAAGTGAATTAACTATTAGCGACAAAAAAGTGAATTAACATTATCTATTGTTATTTTAATTCTATATAACATATATCTCTAATTCTCTATAAAATATATCTCAAATTCTCTATAAAATATATCTTTAATTTCTTTACAGGATATAACTTATATTTTTCCACAATTACTGTTGCAAATTTGTATGTTTCTTATATAAAACTGACCTGTGTAATAATACGTAATATCTTAAAGCGCTGTCTGCCTTTAGCTTTCAAGCGAAATTCTCGTCGGCCGTGATCCATCCATATACCTCCATCTGTGTATTCATAGATCTCAGCAGTTGTTCCTATTTGCTCCATCTCAGGATGACCATAACACACAACACCAAAAGTACGATCGTTTTGTATACAATTTTGCAACATATCTATAGTCTGTGCGCCAAAAACTGTCATAGGTAATGTTTGACCAGGAAATAATACAGATTGTTTTATCAATAATGGTAGATTCATATAAATGCCATCATCCAATATTGTTCTTCCTCTTACTTCTTCTAAGTTTTGTCCTAAATACTAAATGAAAAATACATATACATATATAAATACATACACACATATACAGAGTATCCCAAAAATCCCAGACCGGTCGAATATTTCATAAACTATGCACTTTAGAAAAAAATGTTTCAGACAAAAGTTGTATGGCTTGAAGGGGGCCATCAGATAGTGACAATGATTTGACTTGGGAGAATCATTTGAAAGTCACGTGAAGATCACCGTCAATTTCTTAAATAGAACAAAACACTATAATAAAGTATTTCTTCATTGAGTACTTTTCGAGTTATGAGGCTTGAAATCATTTCTTAATTTTGCATAAACCATAAAATATAGTAAAATATTATATTAATATTATTATATAAATATAGTAATATATTATTTATCTAGTAAAATATTTATTTTTCGATTATCTTACCTTAATACTTTTATGTAGAAAATAATGAGAGGAATCAATTGGTGTAAAGAAAAAACATAGTTGTTTTTAAAAAAAATATGTAATTTGCAATTGACAATTACATATTTTTTTTTAAAACAACTATGTGTTTTCTTTACACCAATTGATTCCTCTCATTATTTTCTACATAAAAGTATTAAGGTAAGATAATCGAAAAATAAATATTTTATTAGATATTTTATGGTTTATGCAAAATTAAGAAATGATTTCAAGCCTTGTAACTCAATGAAAAGTACTCAATGAAGAAATACTTTATTATAGTGTTTTGGAAAGCTCTCGAGATAAGCTACACGAATATGTAATAAAAAATAGGGGGTTCCATTTAAGAAATTGACGGTGATCTTCACGTGACTTTAAAATGACTCTCGCATGTTAAATCATTGCCACTATCTGATGACCCCTTTCAAGCCATACAACTTTTGTCTGAAACATTTCTTTCTAAAGTGCATAGTTTATGAAATATTCGACCGGTCCGGGACTTTTGGGACACTCTGTGTATATATATATATATATATATATATATATATATATATATATATATATACAATTTTCTACAAGATAATTACACACGCGCGCGCGCGCGCGCGTGTGTGTGTGTGTGTGTAATTATCTTGTAGAAAATTGTATCAATTGTAAAATTAATTAAATATTTTTTAAAATATTTTTATTAATTCTTTCATATTTTTAATCAGAAGGCACACACTTACAGAATGTGTCGCTGGTAATGTTACATCGAATGTGTTTTCCGTAGGCACCGGTATATCCTCCATATTGGGCTCTACGTATCGTCTGTGACCTGGTAGATCTACAAATATATATCATATGCCATACTTTTAATAAAATATATATGTGTATTTGTTTATTTGTTTGTTTATGAGTCAGGGAAAGAAGTGAATCCATTAAGATACGAAAAATACTAGAGAATATACCTAGTTCGAGCGTGCTTACATCTGACGAACTTTCAAAATCCTCGTCTGGACTACTATGTGGATAAACTTCTGCAAAGCAGTTTAACTTCAATATTGGGCACTTGAACAGTCTTACGCACAGTTGCGTCAATGTCATTTTTGTATCTATATGTCATAGATTAAGCTATAATCTAAAAAGTGACAGCAAATTACTATAAACGAGGATTTTACTACAACCGACCCTTGTACTACTATTTCACGCGTTTATTTAAAATTGCAAATATAAATACGCGATATAAATACATATATATATATATATATGCATCTCTGTGTAACCTTACACGACATATTTTATGGTGTATCGCGATTCAAGTAATCTCGAAAAACATACCTACTGTAGAACGCTCGTCGAAATCACTCTCCTCACTGTCATAATCCTCGTCAATATCCATTATTACTTATTAAATTATCCGTTCGATTCGAATATAAGCAAATTGTACATGTATCCTTCTTTGACGTCAGGGAAGAGGCAGGTGTGTATTGGAGAAATATAAGGTCTGTTCTTTTCAGCTGCACTGCTGTACTAGTGCAATAAGTTAGAAAGAGACAAAGGGTGTTTACGACAATTAATCGGATCTCTGATCGGACTGAGCAGTGGTACTCAGCGATAGACTTCCTAAATTTCCCTAGACTAATCCGGATCAATGATGTGTCTCTGAAGTAATCGAATTAGATTAACAACTTATTCGTATTTTATAGAAAACATCTTATTCCAGTAAAATACGTTTGTTTATTAATATATATTTGATAAATAAAGATATATTAATTAAAAGAATAATAAAGTATCTTCTATAATTTGTTATGATGTTTTTCACAATTTTTTCGATCAGCTCGATCGCAATTTCTTTCGATGACTGTTAATCTAATTCGATTACTTCAGAGACACATCATTGATCCGGATTAGTCTAGGGAAATTTAAAAAGTCTATCGCTGAGTACCACTGTTCAGTCCGATTAAAGATCCGATTAATTGTCGTAAACACCCAAACATACTTTCTTTCACTCTAACTAATTGCACAAGTGCAGCAGTGCAGCTGAAGAGAACGGACCCATAGAATGACACAGAGTGACAAATTACATGACATAAAATGCTCCGTATAAATATCTTTATTTTATGAAGATTCGTTATTACTTATCTCTCATTATCATTTATCGTTCCTCTCATTACAAATCAAATAAAAATCGTTGCCATATGATTGATAATTAGTCGATAATAAGTACAGAATAATTGTGTTTGGATTTCCCACTCGAGTGCTCCCAATGTCCCAATTAGTGTCTCTAGAAGATAGAGCCATTAGTTCTAACAGCCGGATGGTTAAATGGATCAGGATCCGATAGCCCCAATTGGCCAATTCAAAATAGGCCTCTCTGATTGGTTAATCGTTGCTGGTTATCCTAGGCACAGGTCGATATGATTGGCAGTGGGCAATCGGGTTCGTGAGCAAACGGTACCAGAGAGAAGACTAAGGCCCGGTTTCACCAACGTGATTTAATCTAATCGGTCGATTAACTGTCAGAGTTGCCAACTGCTGAACATAATAAAACTGATCGTAACCTATTTTCTTTCTGTGAAGAAAAGGTCCGTTCGTTTTTAAAGTCTTGTTATTGGCAATTCTGGTGACCAATTTAATCGACCGATTAGATTAAATCACGTTGGTGAAACCGGGCCTAAAGGCCGCAGCACACACTTTTGCATAAGCGCATAACCATAAGCATAAGAAAATTGATTGGTTCATTTTCTTATGCATATACTTGGGGACCAATCAATTTCCTTATGCTTATGGTTATGCGCTTATGCAAAAGTGTGTGCTGCGGCCTTAAGAGGTGTCATAGCCCGCTTTTAGGTGATCCCTGAAAATTATATGCTCTTTATTAATCTAAAAAACGTGAATATGAACTACAAAACTAATGTCCACGAAAGTTCTCAGAGGGTAACATATAATGCACAATTTTTGGTTCTGTTCCGTGCTATGTGCACAAAATGGCGGTAGCACCAGTGCCGTATAGCAAGGTGCTTACGTATATCAAACAAATTTTAATATAAATAAGAAATGACGAATTTGAATATATATATATATATATATATATATATATATATATATAGAATGGATATATATATATATATAGAGAGAGAGAGAGAGAGAGAGAGGGAGAGAGAGAGAAAGAGAGAGAGAGATAATAAAATTTATTTATTATAGAAATATATTTAATATACATAAACACTTTACAGAATTCGTGTTACGGATATTTATTCTCTCTCTCTCTCTCTCTCTCTCTCCCTCCCCCCCTCTATATATATATCCATTCTATATTTATATATATATATATATATATATATTTAAATTCGACATTTCTCATTTATATTAAAATTTATTTGATATACGTAAGCACTTTGCTATACAGCACTGGTGCTACCGCCATTTTGTGCACATTGCACGGAACAGAACCAGAAATTGTGCACATAATATGTTACCCTCTGAGAACTTTCGTGGACATTGGCTTTGTAATTCACGTCCACGTTTTTTAGATTAACAGAGGGCGTATCGCTTTCAGGGATCACCTAAAAGCGGGCCTATGGCCTAGAGCCAATGCCTTGCTTTTGCTCAATAAAAGAAAAAATAAATAAATAAATAAATAAAAGCGGGCCATGACACCTCTCACTCTTCTTCTTCTTCTTCCTTTAATTTGAGTAGTCCCTAATTCCCAAGAGGAATATAAGATACTGGCCAAATACTGGTATACGGTGCTACTGTCGAAGCCCTCCGAGAGAGGGAGAAACTAAAAAATTAATTAAAACAAAAATCATGCGAAGGATGCACAGGAACACGTCCGCTCCCGTCCAAAGGCGATAACGGACTCCTTAGTCTTCTCTCTGTTCCAACTCTCGGTTGAAACTTATTAGGTCCATATTCTGAATCCTCTTTTATCGATAAAAGTGTCTCTAAAAGTGGCATATAAACCTTTTGATTGGCTACAGGTCACTTTTAAAAACCCTTTTATCAATAAAAGAACTCCAAATATGGACCTTAGTCATTTTTTAACGTCAAAAGATATCATGTGATCAAAAAATGACGAATTGGTATCTTTATTTTTAGTCACGTGATGTTTTTTGACGCTAGAAAATGAGCGTCAACCCATATTTGAAAGTGCTATCTACACCATTAATTTTAGCTGCTACATCAAAATTTAACTTTTAATAAAAAATTTATTTTAAATATAATTTTATTTTATTTACGGAGATGATAAAGCATAAAATTATATTTTGTTTAATATTAAACAATTTATGAAAATATTGAGACACGTTTATATGCTTGCAATATTATATCACAGTTGGAACACCATAAACTTTGTGAAAACAGTATATATTGTGTAGCTTGTTCGAAAATATTGTATTACGAATGTAATTACAGATCCACATAAATTATGTAAAATATTCTATAATTCTGTTTTGGCAATGATAAATATAATTTAAATTATAAATTATGATTATATGATAATTTATTATTAAATTATGATAATTAAATTATTAATTATAATTATAATTATAAATCTTTATTTAGATAGAGTCAAAGTTCATTGTAACAATTCATAACATTTTAGTTGTTACATTTATTCAAGTAGTTACAAAAGATTAAGGTTGATTTTTGAAGAAGGAATCGTATCTTGATGGAATTTCGATCATGAATGAACAAATATGACTTATATATCTATATGCAAGAGCAATCCAAGCAAAAATAATATCGAGGGATTAATGTATATTTGTTGACCTAAACTATTGTATGCAAAACAAAGAAAAGATTAAAAATTAAATTTATTACATTTGACACTTCCCATGATTCTTGATTGAATCTGATTTTTCCAACCCCTTTTACATCCTACATGCATACGAGGACAAGATTCATTGTCAAATGTATTTATAATAATTAATTTAAACTTAGATGGAGAATCTTTAGAATTTCTTGCAATGGTAATCAATTAATACATTCAACAAATGTACAATAGCCTTTTTAATTCCATAATAACGTTAATTTTTTTAATATATATATATAATGTATATGATTCTATTAATCTAATATTTATGCGGCCTAAATGATCTATTTGGATCAAATAGTTGTGGATCTCTAACATATTTTGGTTCTTTGGTCCAAAAACCCATCAAACCTATAATGTAACAAATATATACTTATAGTTTCTTATAAGTTTCTCTCTCTCTTTTAATTTTATTAAATACAAAGTACATGTATATTTGAGTACCTGCAGATCTAGCTTTATTAATTTCTTCTTCTAACTTCTTCTGTTTATATTTGCATAATCCAGTTATATGACTTTCGTATATTCTGCCTGTGTGTTGACTTTGAAATTGAGAAAGCAATCTTACATTTTTGTAATCTGGTTCAATATTCAATCTGCACAAGATACATTTACGTTTCTCCTTTACATAAGGATTTTGAATTTTTATAGGCTACAAATATAAGAAAAACAAGCATGTAGCAATGTAATAATTATATATATTCATGAATTAAAAATAAGCTAATATCAGATAATTAATATAAAAATCAAATGTGAAAACTGGAATAAATAATTTTACGTAATGTAGCTGTGTTGTATTTTTGTTTATAAGCAACACATACAAAATAGATTATATATTCACTTCGAGTTACCATCTCATTTTTCATCGTTTTTACGTCGGTTTGTACAGTGCTATCGGTGGAGCTTTTACTTATATTTCGAAGACACGATTTGTAAAACTTGCTAATGACCCTTGTCATCGTAATTCTTTGTAAAGCAGAAGTAGAAATCATTTTGCATAAGTGTCTATAAAACTACACACAACTTGTATATATAACCTGTAAAATATCACTAATCTACCTTATGACCAGAAACCAAGCATGGATCAAGCCTGGATCCAACCAAGCATGGATGGAGCCCAGGATCAAGGTTATAAGCGTCGTCTACAATGGCAGTAGGATTAATGGATTAAAGTAACTCAAGAAATTGACCAATCACAGTCGAGTATTCTTTTGATGCTTGACTGTGATTGGTCAATTTCTTAAGTTACTGCTTTAATTCATTAATCCTACTGCTATTAGAGAACCTCTAGGAGAGAGAATGGACAACTGATCAAGCTTTTTCATGATTGGCTGGCAGAAAATGTATCAATTTTAGCTATTGCGACGCCAATGCAAAATATGATGACACACAAATAGGACACACATGACACACATATATTAACCTATTTGTGTGTGTATCATATTTTGCATTGGCGTCGCAATAGCTAAAATTGATACATTTTCTGCCAGCCAATCATGAAAAAGCTTGATCACATGTCACATGATCAGTTGTCCATTCTCTCTCCTAGAGGTTCTCTAACTGCTATTGTAGACGACATGATACACGTAATCTGATTGGTGTATGCTCTTAGATTCAGTCAAAATTAAGAGCATACGCCAATTAGGCTCATGAATTTTACAACAGTTGCAAATAGTGCGTTCGAAAATATGTTTGGTTGGGAAAAAAGATAAAGTTGGCAGTATTGAAAACTCCCAGTGCTGCATTTCGTTTCTCCCACTAGGATCATTAGAATTGTATTGTACTGTATGTATGTATGTACAACATATGAAAGTGTTGCAATTACATTGGGTGCTTTCCAATTGTTTAACACATCTTAACACAAACATACACAGGAAGGCACAAAGTGTAGCGATGTGCACGACTCAATTGGAACAAAGTTAATGTGCGACTTTCGAGTGGAGGGTTAGGATAGGTTATTAACATACATAGATGTATATATATGCATAATATTATATAATATATAAATAATATATAAATAAAATATATAAATGCATATTATATTAATATATAAATATGAATGAAAATTTAATCAGTAATATATCTAACCTGCAAATATGCAAAAGAGACAATTTTATTTTATTTATTAAATATAATAAAAAAATTAATTGTACAAAAACTCATTAATTTGAATTACTTACTTCAATGATACTTTTAATATTTTTATTGTCCATTTTTGTATTTGTATGGTGTACTTTAATGGTTGTCTTTTAATTAAAAAGGATAAAACGAAAAGAAAATTGCCAACATAATCGCCGTCAGTCTGTAACCGCATATTTCATTTGTCCCTAGAAAACAGAAGGTTACACAAGTTGACTAGTAGCCCTCGAGCTGAGTACGGATGTGTAAAGTTGTGTCGGCAGTTACGGCAATTGGAACGCGACTTGTGTCGCCGTGTGCATAAAAGTGTCTAGGGATATCTCAATTGGAAAGCACCCATTAATTATTATTATGGAACAATATATTTTACTCGAAAACATCATTTTTGAATCTTCGAGTAGTTCTTCTTCAGATAGTGATGATAATAATGAAGAATTACAAAATATTTTATTCGAAAATAGAGGTAATAACAATAGAGGTGAAAGGAAAATAGTATCAAAAATAACAGATTATTTGGAAAATGTTGTTATCAGATATACAAATATTGAATTTAAATCACATTTTAGGTAAATCATGTCACTTTATTATAATTATAGCATTATTAATATAAAACACATTTTCGTATTAATAATAATATATGTGATGTTATTAAATATATTATTATAAAATATATTTAACTTATTTACCTCTTTTAATATCTCAAGTAGCAAATTTTTTTAATCTCAGTGATCCCAGTGGGAGAAACGAAACGCAGCACTGGGAGTTTTCAATACTGCCAACTTTATCTTTTTTCCCAACACCAACCAAACATATTTTCGAACGCACTAAAAGCAACTTTTTCGCTGAACGCAGCCACTGTCTGGTGATATTAGTGCTGCTTCATAATGACAGAATAATGAATTAATAATAGAATTACAGTGACATCAAGTTTTGTCGAATTATTTTATATTGTGTAAAATTAATTTATTTATAAAATATCAAAAATTAATTTATTTATAAAATATCAAAAAATGCCGCTTTGTGTTGCAATCGGCTGTTACAATAAAAGTTACCGCAAAGCTAAAGGTCAAAAAAATGTGGAGCAAGATGTTGAAATCACATTCCATCGGTAAGTATTGTATTCATAACCTAATTATAAACTAAAATTTACTTTTATTCTATATATTAATGAAATAAGATTCAATGTAAAAGTTTTTACTGTTTCAATAAATTTTTGTTAAATACTATAAGATATATAATTCTAATACGTAAGAGTACATAATCTTATAATTATTTTTTATTAATTTGTTTTACTAGATTTCCAAAAGATGAAGCAAGAAAATTAACTCGGATAAAAAATATGGGTCTTCGTGATGAATGCTTACCGAAATCTCCACATTTATGCTCATTGCATTTTTCAGAAAGTAGCTTTGATCGTAGCTTCTTAATGCGACCAAGGTTAAAAGAAAATGCCATTCCAATCGTAAGTATAATTTTATTTACAATTAAATATTATTGTTCACAATCTTAAATTTTAATAAATGCTACTCAGCAAACCAAAATATTGCAGCTACATTGCCGCAACATTGCTGCAATGTTGTAATATTGCCGTAATATTGCTGCAATATTCTGTGTTTGCTGGGTATAAATCTAAATATTTTTTTTTAATATTAGATTATCATTATATAACATATTATGATAGCATAGATAAATACATATATTAAAAATTACTTTTATATTTATAGCTAAATATATCAGAGATTGAAAGTACAGAAAAAGAAATTGAGATTCCATCTGTGTCAAATACATCAATTAAAACTTCATTAACAGTAAACAATAATGATTTGACTGTAAATATTTCTCTTAACTATAAGATTAATTGCATTCACTAATTATATATTTGTATCAACATAACATTAAATATTAACAGACTTCACAAGATAAAAATGAAACGGAGTTAATAGAAACTTTCCATCATGTATTCAATAAAATACCAATGAAAACCTCATTAAAAGTATTTGGTTTCAATGATGAATTAACAGCAAGTATTTCAAGTTACATTCCGTATTAAACATGTAAAAACAAAGAAAAATATACTTGTTTTACAATATTTTGTGATTGTTTATGGAATAATTAATTGTAATTAATTTTTTTTAATTTTTTATGGAATAATTTTTTTTATAAAATACTTTTGTTTTTTATGCATATGGCAGTAAGTGAAATTCAAAATTTTATTTACAATTACAGTTTAAGTCGGAAATAACAAAGCAACAAACATCCAAACGTTACAGAGAAGATGATAATTACAGTGACAATGAAATTATGTCAAAAAGATATTCTATCGGTCAGCGATTAGAGGATTCACCCAGAAAAAAATTGTTGCGCAAAGCTTTATCTTACCAAAAGGAACATTTTCAACGGCAGATACGAACATGGAAGCAGAGAAACAAGCGTCAAGAAAAACAAATCGCAACATTGAATGCAATATTAAAAGATCTGAAACAGAAAAGTTTATTAGCTGATGAACATGCGGATATATTAGAAACAATTGGTAAATGTAATGTATACTTGTTCAACCGTTTGACAGCAAAAAACAGTAACAAATCAAAAGTTTTGAAAGAATATTCTCCTGAGCTTCGCAAATTCGCTTTAACATTGCACTATTATTCACCTAAAGCTTATACCTATCTTTAACGCTTCGTTTATGCTTCGGCGTTTCAATTTACGCTTTTTAGGAGCTTCGTTTACGCTTCTATTACACTTCCTTACATTCGACTTACGCTCCGAATATTTATTTTCACTAGGGGAGTTGCATTAACTTTTGATGGTGCAAAACAATTGCAGTGCAATTTAACACTAAATTCTTTACAGACATGGTTTTCTCATCCATATGTCATATGTTATATCGTAATATATGTTAATGTAATATATATATATATATATATATATATATATATATATATATTATATCGTAGTTATATCTCATATAGCGAAGGACTAATTCAATTTAATTAAATTAATAATAAAGTAAATAATAAAAGTAAATATAACTTGTAAAACTGGAGATGTAATTTATTTAGAATTAAATTCTTGCTTTATGCCTCAAATAGGCAGTATATGAATAATTTTCCATTTTTCATATTGATTCCAATCAGTTTAATATTCTGAATCTCATCTGTTTGTATCAGATATCAGAAATTAAAGTGATAGAAATTAAAATGAAAATTATTATGTTTTTAGTATTATTCATATTCGCGACTTTATATATATTTCTGACAGAAATTAGATTACGAAAAAGTACAGCTCACGGTAGCGGTAAGTGAAGGAACTATTGAATCATGCAAACCCTGTTCCGTTTCTGCTGTCAATCTGCTATCAGAGATTGTGTGCGTAGATCCTGCTCGGTTTTTGTTACCAATCTGCTGTCAAAATTGCGCCGTACAGATCCTGCTCGGTTTCTGTCATCAATGTGCTGTCAATTATATCAATAAGTTCTGTTCGGTTTCTATTGACGATCTGTTGTCCAGTTATGTGAACAGATTTTGTTGTATGTCTGCTGACATGCTAGCAACATGATCGAACATATCAATTCCTCTATGCAAACTGTAGTCTTTCTGCCTTTAAAATTTGTAATAGGTGTTTGACGAAAATCTGTTCTAACAGATTTGGCTATCTGGGCAAGGGCAGCTGCACCGGATGGGGTTCGGAGAATCGCTCGAACGATTGCTCGCACGACACGTCAGCTAGAAGACGTCTTTAAAAGACCGACCAAGAGATGGACCGTTGGAGAAGCGTGTGGTCGACGTGGACAGGGCATAAACGACGTGCTTGGATCTTCTATTACTATTTCGGACTGTTCACGTATTGAAGACATAATAATAAGACACAACGACCTTAGACATTATACAAAAACTAACAAGAAACACAACAATATATAAAAATTAAATTTTATCATATTGGTAAAGAAGCTATGGAAGATGTACAAAGTCAAAGACATTTTTGCAATAAGTTAACGTTATTCGAAGGACAATAATATTTTCATTTTTGGAATTATGTAATAAAATAATTTTATAAGAAGTATATATTTACAATATAATATTTTATTTTAAAATAATTTTATAATATGACAGTTGTATAAATATTGTAATAAATCATTATTTTATCCTATAAAATTATATTTTGAATAGTAAAAATTTAATCTTTCTTTTTCCGAATCCAATAACACAATTCTTTTAATCAACCAACTGATGTAATGATATTTTCTGTTATATATATATATATATATATATATATATATATATATATATATATATAGGTATAAAATTATTTTCAATAATTTTTCAAAAATTTTAATAAATTATATTTTATATAATTATAACTTTATAACTTAAAATGTTTTAATATGTTTCAAAAAAACAAAACATGAGGATTATTGTCCTCCATATAAACAATAAAAATATATCATTTTATAATTTATATGAAAAGATATAAACTTTTAATATAAACAGAAAATTATTTTCAATTGCGCACAACTGTTGCATTAATGTTGTCTTTTATAAAAGTCTGTTTTCGTGCAATAAAAGTAGAAAAAAAATCATGTTATATTTTAAACAAAACGCCAAAATGTCACCAGACAAGATGGCCGATTCGCCCTGCGCCAGTATCGGTCCCCTCTTCCTAAAACTAACTTTATGGCCGGTATTCATAGTCCGATCTTAAGGTGCCTTTACATGGGAGCGTTTTAGCGTCAAGCGTTAAAGCGTCAAAAAGTGTGACATGCGCAGTGTGCCTAGTGATTTGTTGAAACGCTGGAGCAGTCAGTAAATCATCTAAATTGCGGAATATTATCAAATATTATCATTATTATCAATATTATCAATATTATCATTATTATCAAATATTATCAATAAAATGTCAGTTAATTATCGTTATCATCAATGGTTATTAGAATGCAGCAGCATTATTAATCATGAATATAAGAAACAAAAAAAAGTTACGTGCACACTCCACACGTTATATCCTATACAAAGAATACATTGTAATAAATAATATTCATGTTGTATTTAGAAAACATATATTTATGCCAATTATTCCTTCTGTTTGGTTATGTTGTAATACGCTACTAATCGCGCAATTCTATAATATATATTGTATAATGATATCTATTATATCTATTATATCTATTATATTTATTATATATTATATATATTAATACATTTTCTATTAAGAATATACAATCTACTTACCTCTACCGTATTTATTAAAATTTTGTTACTAGACATTGTTTTAGCGGTTTTAGCGTCAAGATGCTGGAATCTGCCTGTTCAGAATTATGCGCAAGGGTGCTGCGCACGTGTTTTTGACGCTCGACGCTTGACGCTAAACGCTTCCATCTAAAGACGCCTTTATATTTGAGATCGTCTTAAGGTGCCTTTACATAGGAGCGTTTTAGCGTCGAGCGTTAAAGCGTCAAAAAGTATGACATGCGCAGTGTGCCTAGTGATTTGTTGAAACGCTGGAGCAGTCAGTAAATCATCTAAATTGCGGAATATTATCAAATATTATCATTATTATCAATATTATCAATATTATCATTATTATCAAATATTATCAATAAAATGTCAGTTAATTATCGTTATCATCAATGGTTATTAGAATGCAGCAGCATTATTAATCATGAATATAAGAAACAAAAAAAAGTTACGTGCACACTCCACACGTTATATCCTATACAAAGAATACATTGTAATAAATAATATTCATGTTGTATTTAGAAAACATATATTTATGCCAATTATTCCTTCTGTTTGGTTATGTTGTAATACGCTACTAATCGCGCAATTCTATAATATATATTGTATAATGATATCTATTATATCTATTATATCTATTATATTTATTATATATTATATATATTAATACATTTTCTATTAAGAATATACAATCTACTTACCTCTACCGTATTTATTAAAATTTTGTTACTAGACATTGTTTTAGCGGTTTTAGCGTCAAGATGCTGGAATCTGCCTGTTCAGAATTATGCGCAAGGGTGCTGCGCACGTGTTTTTGACGCTCGACGCTTGACGCTAAACGCTTCCATCTAAAGACGCCTTTAAGTTTGAGCTTGAAATGCTACGCAGCTATTTGATTGGTTGAATGAGGTCTTAAGCAGACTTAAGACGATCTTAAATATAAGATCGGACTATGCATACCGGCCTATGCTCCGTCCAGATATAATTCTCAAGCCAGTAACATACACAAAAATTAAATTTCCTAGGCACCAAAAAATTCAGCTTAATTTGTTCTTTCATAATATTTCAGAATTTGCTCCATTTTACTTTTTTTAGAAATAAATAATAAAGTTAATAACAATATAAACATCAAAACAAACGAAAATCATTAGAATTTATAGGTTCTCAAGGCACAGACAGGATTCAAGAAATTGACCAATCACAGTCAAGTATTAAGAGAATACTCGACTGTGATTGGTCAATTTCTTGAGTCTTACGCCTTACAACCTTATGCTACGGCCATTGTAGAATGGCCTTCAACAGTTGGCCTTCAACATTACTAGATTTTCCAATGTAATTCAACGCTGATTGGTCGGACCTGAAAGTAAAAACCAATCATGTTCGATTGCTACTTAGCGGTTAATCCGCTGAATGCGGCCATTGATAGCGGAGACCTAAAACTGAAATCCATAACTTGCTTCTCATCTACGTTACAAATAGTTTTATGTTAAACGGGCTGCGCTGCCGCATCCCTTGCCTCTGCCACTCTTTCGCGGATTTCTCGGCGGCGAGAGTCATTCCTTTGGAACAGGTACTGTCTTTTTTGACATAGTACCCCTACTAAATGTAAATATCTGATACGATCTAATTCAAACTGTCATTAATTTTGAATGCTTGTATTTAGGTGCAAACGCGAGTCACGTGACGATGTTATCTTGGGTACAGGAGGCAGCGAAAATGAATCCATTCTCGTCACCGTTCACGCAAGCCAAGTGTCAGGCATTAAAGGATGAGGGAACACGACCGCTCGTTCCGAACCGCAACATTGCTGCTGCCTCCGTCGAGGAAGGTGGTCAGTAACTATTTCCTCTCCGATTCTTTGCAAATTAAACAATCGTGAGAAATTCTCCTCTTGATCAGTTAATCGGTGGAGGTTATATCACTTTCATACAATTTTTCTATTTAATATTATTTATATTTTATTTAATATTAATTAAAAAAATATATCATGTTCATAACGTTTGTTTATCCCGAGATTTTTATCTTCGATACTTAAATATTGGGATATAAATTTACATGATAATGTAATAAGACTGCCTGCCATTTCTTATCTCATATTCTAACCGGAGATCACGAGAACTGTTGAAGATCATTACATAACCCGAAATATGATTGTAAATGTTCGGATTCAATTGTCAGAATTCGATTTTTCAAAGATGACTTATCGATTGTATTCACATAACGTTTTCTTAGATATCGTAAATTTAAAAATAGCAAGATTTAATATTTTCGTCACGAGTAACATATTTTGTCTTTCAAATCTTTCGGTTATGATACATCAATTATATAACTGCATATCTCTTTTTGTGCACTTACAGAACCGATAATTTCACGTGTGAATTTCATGTTTATTTTTATTTAATTTTATTGACGAAAGAAATTACAAGATTATATAATTTACGAATAACGAATTCCCGAGAGAAGACATAAGAGTTTAAATGGATACATACCGAGGGTTGCATAAGGCGCGGCCATCTTGTCATATATCAGCACGTTATAAAACGTGCTTCCCTTGACCTTGGACGTGGTGACGACTACGTAAAAATAAATTCGATTCGTTGTACATTAACCGTGACCGAGAAACATGTCAAGAGGAAGATGTTTTTTTTTCTAAGGTCAAGAGTACATACAAGGGGGGTCAGTTCGCTTGAATTTTGGATTCACGCCAAACTACTATTCGATCAGTCGATTGATACTTTTGAAACATTTGTGTATATTCTGAATATTTACATTACTAATATTAAAAAAAATTTTCCGAAGCTCGCCTTAAAATATTAAAAAAAATTAAAATATTAAAAATAAAATATTTAAAAAATTTTTTCAAACTCGTCTTAAAATATTAAAATCTAAATCTTTAGACGCGTCGATATTTGATTGATACGCAATGAAGGATATCGTGATCAAAAATCATCATATCGAGAGGAGGATATTTTTTTCTCAGATCAAGAATAAGAGACGAATCGGAGCGGCGAGTGACTGAGGCGGCAAAGAGTATTTGTCTACCATGAAGAACCCCAGGTTCAAATCTTGATACATGACAAATTTTTCTACGATAATCACCTACTTCCTCTTTCTCTCCTTTCCTCATCTTCCTGCTCTTTTTATCCACTTCTTCTGAACTTGTTATACTCTATTAAAGTGAGAAACTCTATTGATAATGATATACAGGGTGTCCCAAAAGTCTCGAACCGGTCGAATATTTCATAAACTATGCACTTTAGAAAGAAATGTTTCAGACAAAAGTTGTATGGCTTGAAGGGGACCATCAGATAGTGGCAATGATTTGACATGGGAGAGTCATTTGAAAGTAACGTGGAGATCACCGTCAATTTCTTAAATGGAACCCCCTATTTTTTATTACATATTCGTGTAGCTTATCTCGAGAGCTTTCCAAAACACTATAATAAAGTATTTCTTCATTGAGTACTCTTCATTGAGTTATGAGGCTTGAAATCATTTCTTAATTTTGCATAAACATAAAATATCTAGTAAAATATTCATTTTTCGATTATCTTACCTTAATACTTTTATGTACAAAATAATGAGAGGAATTAATTGTAAAGAAAATACATAGTTATTTTTAAGAAAAAATATGTAATTTGCAATTAACAATTACATTTTTTTTTTTAAAACAACTATGTGTTTTCTTTACACCAATTGATTCCTCCCATTATTTTGTACATAAAAGTATTAAGGTAAGATAATCGAAAAATGAATATTTTACTAGATATTTTATGATTTATGCAAAATTAAGAAATGATTTCAAACCTCATAACTCGCAAAGTACTCAATGAAGAAATACTTTATTATAGTGTTTTGGAAAGCTCTCGAGATAAGCTACACGAATATGTAATAAAAAATAGGGGGTTCCATTTAAGAAATTGAAAGTGACCTTTTATGTCACCTTCAAATGACTCTCCAAGGTCAAATCATTGCCACTATCTGATGGCCCCCTTCAAGCCATACAACTTTTGTCTGAAACATTTCTTTCTAAAGTGCATAGTTTATGAAATATTCAACCGGTCCGGTACTTTTAGGACATCCTGCATACCAATGATGATATATTACCTGCCGATGGCCAGAATGTATAGATCCTTCTGTATAGGATCTGTGTTGGCCAATAAATTGAAAACATACACATAAAAAAAATTTTAAATCCACGCCAGAATGTATTTTATAATCGATCAATCTGACCGATTAATACCTTTGAAATATTTATATATTCTGAACATTTGCATTTCTATTCAGAAATTTTCTGATAGAAAGAAAGAGAGAGAAACGCGTGTTAGAATATTAAAATCTTAAATCTTTTTAAACACCTCCATATTTCTTATTGATACATAATGAAGAGTATGTTGTTGAAAATAATGTCGCTTTGTGAAAATGTAACTGAGAAAAATCGTTTGATTGTACCAGCAAGACGTATATGATTGAAGGCATTTTGGTTAAATCAAACAAGAATTTCTAGTTATCGTGATAAGACTCAATTTTTTATAACTAGAACGTTTAATAGATTTTACTATAAGGATTTGGTTAGTATTTTCTGGTTGAATCTATCAAATTTCTTGTTGCATTAATTTCTTTGCTTGCTTCTTAACTTAACTCGTATTCAATATTTGCCATGAAATGTATATAAAGAACTAGTATTAACATTAAATCCAAAGTATATTTTTTTCTCTTACGAGCAATAGTGCCAGAAAGAGGACGCTAGCTCTCTGATTGAGTGTGTTTGAGCTACATCCTCTTCTTGCATCACTATTTATCAGTTTAATTTCTAACAAACTGAATTTAAAATAATTTATTCAATAATCTGGATTGAATTTATCCAATAATCTTGTTGGAATTCAGAATATTAAACAGACTTTTGAGATTAGATGGAAAAAATTTTAGATGACTTGGTGCTGACGAGTTTAGTATTATTAACCAGAAAATTTGGTAAATTTAACAGGAAGAAATTAATCAGATTCATCTGGTAATTTCTATTAGAATTCTGATTCGTCCATTTCCCAACAGACATATTGGTTGAATCTATCAGAATTCTAATTAATACAACCAGATTTTTTTCTCAGTGTAAAAAGTAAAAATTAATATGATGTATTTTGTATATTTACAGATAGTTGCGAATTTGGATCGAACCATTATTTCTTGTTATGCGGCCTCGGGGGCATTTTGTCTTGCGGTATCACTCATACCGGTATCACGCCTTTAGATTTAGTCAAATGCCGAATTCAAGTGGACCCTGCAAAATATAAATCAGTGTTCAATGGATTTCGGGTAATTCTTATTCCTTATTACATTTTTTTTTATACAGGGTGTATCTGAAATTATGCACTAAACTTTAGGAGCGTATTCTAGAGGTCAAAATAAGACTTTTTCCTGAACGTGGGTCCGTAAATGAACTCCCCTCCGAGCTAGAGGCCCCTAAAGTTTGGAGAAAAAATTAAAAATTGGCTGTATTTAAAAAAAAAAAGTTTTGACATTACCTATCACCCTCTCTTGAGAGATAAATAAATTTGCGTTGCTTGGTCAATTTCACACATTTTCGAATTTTAGTTCGGAGGGGGGTTCATTTGCGGACCCATGTTCATAAGAAAAAAAAAGTCTTATTTTGACCTCTAGAATACGCTCCTAAAGTTTAGTGTATCATTTCAGATACACCCTGTATATTTCTCTAAATGTAATATTTTTTATCACACACAGATCCTATTGATTGTAGGTAACATATGCCGAAGACGGTACCCGAGGATTAGTGAGAGGCTGGGCGCCCACTTTTTACGGCTATTCTATTCAGGGAATGTTTAAGTTTGGTCTCTATGAAGTTTTCAAAGTTCAGTACGCAGCATTGGCCGGTGAAGAACTCTCTTATGAATACAGAACCACATTGTATTTGATATCGTCAGCTTCTGCAGAATTCTTCGCGGACATTGGATTAGCGCCATTTGAAGCTGCCAAGGTAAAACAAATTGTTCAATGTTTTTTTTCTGAAATAAAAACTGTTGTTAAAAATCTGTTAAAAATAATTCTATATCTTCTTATCATTTATTCAATTTTATGCAATGGATTTTTAAATTCTAGGTCAGAATACAAACTATGCCCGGATATGCTAACACTTTGCGACAAGCATTGCCGAAGATGTACGCGGACGAAGGTCTTACCAGTTTCTATAAGGGTTTAGTGCCACTATGGTTGCGTCAAATTCCTTATACGATGATGAAATTTGCCTGTTTCGAGCGCACCGTCGAACTTCTGTATAAATATATAGTACCCAAACCTAGGGCGGAGTGCAGTAAAGGTGAACAACTGGTAGTAACTTTCGCAGCTGGATATATTGCTGGTGTATTTTGCGCCATTGTATCTCACCCTGCTGATACGGTAAATTTTACTTACATAATTGCAAATTTCTCCTTCATATTTTGAATTTATCAAATATATAAATGTCTGTGTTTTTAAGGTGGTGTCTAAATTGAATCAAGAAAAGGGAGCGACTGCGGGTGATGTTCTGAGAAAACTCGGCTTTGGCGGCGTATGGAAGGGCCTGGGACCGAGGATTGTGATGATTGGTACCCTGACTGCAGCGCAATGGTTCATCTACGATGCCGTCAAGGTCTGGCTACGCATGCCCCGCCCGCCACCACCCGAGATGCCAGAGTCCCTCAAGAAAAAGTACGGGATAGCATAAACGCCAGAAGGCAACACGTTCCGATTGGATCGTCAAATTTAGAAAAGGAGACATAAAGCAATTTCAATTTGATCCTCGTGCCGTACACATTGTTGAACAATGTGTTCCGCTACTTATTTTCGAATATTTATTATGATTATACAGCAGCATCAACAGGCAACACTGCCGCAGATTATTAGAAAAATAATTGTGTCTTACAAATAGGAAATATATATAGAATGCTAATTATCGACTCTATAATTATAAAAGGCACATTAAATCTAATTTTTGCGACAGTTATAACAAGTTACCCAAAGTAACTTAAAACTGTCACATTGTACATAGGGTGATCGTTGTAAATAAACAGGACGATTGCTCAATTATATGTTATATTATTTAATATTTCTCTTTCCAATACATAACAATATTTATGACGTATATTACCAAATCTGATTTACAAAAATATATATGTATTAATGTTTTAGATCTGCAAAAAAATTAAGTATTACTGTAAGTACAAACAAATTAGATATAGAATATTTGTGAAGTACATTTGTATCACTTTGTGTTTTTATGCAACTTACATAATGCTGTTTTACACATTTTGTTGCATATTTTTTTTATTAAAAATTGGCACTGAGTAAAAAAAGATTTCTTTTTTTGTTACAATATTGTTTTGCAGGAAATATGTCACAAAGATACACAACATAAGACAGACAACGTAAAAAGCAATACTGCATGCATAATATAGCTGTACACTCCTCCATTATGTAGTTACATTGTTATCAAAAATATGTCCATATATTACATATGTATGACTGAAAAACCATTTTCCATTATCTTGAGGAAATCTCATTTCGAAAATAAGCAACGGCATCTTGTATAGTCGCGAAGATTTTCAGCGACATCTCGCCATATATGTATAAATCACATTTCTTTATTATTTCAAAGATGGGACTTGGACAATTGACAAAGTAAAATTTGATGTTCACTTGCGTAAATTCTTTGACAATCAAGTGCAACATCTGAACGCTACTGGGATCGATGTAACTCAACGCACTCATGTCCATGATTATGCATTGCAATTCAAGTCTACCTTCGGAATCATCCAGAAATTGATTTTCTTCAGTTAATTTTTTTCTATGCTTGATAATCTTTTGCGGACATACTCCTACGAGTTTATATATGATAGACCTAAAGTAATTGTTATTTGCAAAGTTTAGTGTACCGCAATAATGAAATATTTTTATTCCATGTATCTCCACCGCCTAAAATCAATATGTAAAATTCAGGGTTGGCATGTTTTAAACAATGTGTTTAAAACTGTTTGATTAAAACTTGTTTGTTTAAAACAGTGTCCATTCTTTTAAACATTTTTGTTTTAAAGTGTTTTAAACTGTTTAGAACCGTTTAAAATATCGCAAATAAAATATATGATTATTTGGAAAAGAAATTGTAAAAAAAAAATCAAAAACAAAAACTAACAGATGTGTATATTGCAAAAAAATTTTTGTTTTAGTGTTTTTAGTTTTTTATCTATATTTATATAACATATAAAGTATATAGTATATAATAAACATATTTATGTAAGATATAAAAATATAAATAATAAAATAAAAATGATAAGATGGGTATTATTTTAGCAGAATATTTATTTTTGGATATTAAATAACAATCAATACAATAAAGATTACTTAGAAGATATTGACTGATTTTACATTTTACATTTTAGCATTTTAAATTAATAGTACATAACTCATAGCAGGTCAGTAGTTCTAAAAAAAAGTTCTTTCAAAAAGAAGAATTGAGGTTTTTTTTTATTTTTATTTTATTTATAATTTATGTTGAGAGTTAAGCATGAGGTTACTTAATACGAATAGGAAAGGAACCAAAGTATTATATATTAAATATTATTAACTAGAACTTTTTTTCTCCAAAAATAAATATTCTGCTAAAATAATACCCTTCTTATCATTTTTATTTTATTATTTATATTTTTAATAGCGTTGTCAATTTTGGCAACGTTATTTACAGTTTAACGCTAGCAAAAAATTTAAATATTTACACAGATCAAAGCTATTAAGTGTTTTTTGCTTGTTGCATGTAAAACATGTTTTTTTTTACTTTACTTAAAAACACAAATAAAACAAAACATTGTTCTAAACAAAAAAAAAACAATGTTTTTGACAACCCTGGTAAAATTGATTAATATCTTATTTTTGTTGCGTTTATCTGTCTGATGAAAACTTACTGCTTTGTATCTATCCAAATCCAAATATAAATCCGTATGTGGTATGTGACCTAGCAAACATGCATAGGGTCGAATAGCTTGAAGCAGAATAATGACCAGTGACACGAGCAAACCCGCAAACAATCCAATGTCAATATTTATCAACGTCACAATTAGGAATGTTACGATCCAAATGATGGCATCAGTCTTGCTCAGTTTCCAAAATTTAACGAATTGATTAGCTTGTTGGAACATTCCCTTCAATGCTACCTGCATGAAGAAAGATCTTCAGATTATTTTTTTTTTTCTTAACGAGACATTATGATTTTGCGATTTTATACGTACAATTATTATGGAAGCCAACACGCATCTTGGTAATAATTCGAAAAACGGTCCAACCCACAAGAGTATAATAAGCAACAATAAGCAAGACACGATACTCGCTATTTGCGTACGTCCTCCGACAGTTTGTTGAATGAGAGATCTGCTTAAGGAGGCTGCTATTGGCATGCATGAGAAAAAAGAACCCATTACATTACTAAAGCCCTGAAATTGAAATTTGCTATTGATAATAAATACAAGTAATAAATATTATATTATTAAAATATAATAGGTCGCACCATTGCAAGAAGTTCCTGATTAGAATCTATTTCATAGTTAAGTTTCTGCGCGAATATCAATGCCATTGACATGGTAATAGTGTACGAAACCATGGTTATTGCGATGCTATCGATTGCTACCAAAGGCAATAATTCAAGACTCGGCACTTCTGGTTTAGGAAGCCTATTAAAAAATATTTATATACATATATAAATAATATACAGGGTGCGCTAAAAGTCTGGATACACCTAAGTATCTCACAAACGGTGCATTTTAGAAAAAAATGTTTCAGGCAAAAGTTGTTTGATTTCGAGGGAGCCATTAAGATGGTACCATTGGTTTTACCTTGAAGAGTCATTTGAAGATCACACGAAGGTCACTTCAATTTTTTAAAATGGAACACCCTATATATTTTTATATATTCTTGTAGCTCATCTCGAGATCTTTCCAAAACACTATAATAAGGTATTTCTTCATTGAATATTTTTCGAGTTATGAGGCTTGAAATAATTTCTTAATTTTACATAAACCATAAAATATCTAGTAAAATATTCATTTTTCAATTATCTTACCTTAATATTTTTATGTACAAAATAATGAGAGGAATCAATTGGTGTAAAGAAAACATACAGTTGTTTTTAAGAAAAAATATGGAATTTGCTATTAACAATTCCATATTTTTTCTTAAAAACAACTGTATGTTTTCCTTACACCAATTGATTCCTCTCATTATTTTGTACATAAAAGTATTAAGGTAAGATAATCGAAAAACGAATATTTTACTAGATATTTTATGGTTCATGTAAAATTAAGAAATTATTTCAAGCCTCATAACTCGAAAAGTATTCAATGAGGAAATATTTTATTATAGTGTTTTGGAAAGATCTCGAGATGAGCTATAAGAATATATAAAAATATATAGTGTTCCATTTAAAAAAATTGAAGTGACCTTCGTGTGATCTTCAAATGACTCTTCAAGGTAAAACCAATGGTACCATCTTATGGCTCCCTCGAAATCAAACAACTTTTGCCTGAAACATTTTTTTCTAAAATGCACCGTTTGTGAGATATTTAGGTATATCCAGACTTTTGGCGCACCCTGTATATGTATAATATAATTTTATATAGTATATCAGAATTTTAGTAAATAAATTTCAGTGATGAATTCATTCAGTACCCTATAGGAATATGTCCAACGGTTTCAATATTATAAGTCTTTGGTAAATCGCAATATCGAGAAACTAATGTCCCACCAATGACTGCAATGAGTTCAATAGGTATTGGCATACTGCATATTTTGCTCATCCTTGGCTAATTAAAAGTTATATCATTATATTGTCAATATTTTCAAATTAAAGTATCAAATTGATACACATAATACATATTTACCTTCAAGAACTCATTATTAAAAATAAGAATAACAATTGATACAATTGATACTATGGCTGCAGTTATATTGGTATTTTCTATTTCCTTAAATACATCTACAACGGTCTGAAATTTAAAGAAAATTTTTGTTCAAATGTTTTAATCTCAATAAATGAACCGTTTATTTTGAAAGTGATCTAAGTCCATTTATATTTAAATTAAGATATTTAAATTTGCGTTTCAATAAAATTAAAAATAATTGACAAATGGACTTAGGCCACTTTCAAAATAAACGGCTCAAATATACATTAATATAATTTATGTGTTCATTTATACACAAATATGACACACACACACACACATACACACACACACACACACACACACACACACACAGGGTGATTCATTTTAATGTTAACAGGCAAATATTTTAAAAAATATGCAAAATACGAAAAAATGTTTTAGACAAATTTGTATGATTTTAAGAGAGACATAAAATGGTATCATTAATTTGACCTTAAATAGTTACTTGAAAGTCATGTGAAGGTCACCCTCAATTTTTTTAAATGGAACTGCCTATTTTTTATTACATATATAATATTCTTGCTTATCTCGAAAGCTTTCCAAAACATTATAATTTAGTTAGTTTGCATTAAGTACTTTCCGAGTGAACATGTAATTTGCAAGTAACAATTACATATTTTTTCTTAAAAATAACTATTTTCTTTACAATTAATTCCTCTCATTATTTTGTACATAAAAGTATTAAGGTAAGATAATCGAAAAATGAATATTTCACAAGATATTTTACGGTTTATGTAAAATTATGAAACGATTTCTCATAACTCGGAAAGTACTTAATGAAAACTAACTTAATTATAGTGTTTTGGAAAGCTCCCGAGATAAGCCACAAGAATATGAAATAAAAAATAGGCAGTTCCATTTAAAAAATTGAGGGTGACCTTCAAGTAACCATTTAAGATCAAATTAATAACACACACACACATATATATACATACATACATACATACACACATACAGGGTGATTCATTTTAATCTTAACAGCCAAATATTTAGAAAAATATGCGAGATACGAAAAAATGTTTTAGACAAAAGTTGTATGGTTTTAAGAGAGACATAAGATGGTGACAATGATTTGACCTTGGATAGTCGTTTTGAAGGTCGCGAAAGTTACCTTTAATTTTTCAAATGAAATCCCTTATTTTTCACTACACAATCTTGTAGCTTATCTCGAGAGCTTTCCAAAACATTATAATTAAATGTTTTTTCGTACTTTTCGAATTATGAAGCTTGAAATTCTTAATTTTACATAAACCGTAAAATATATCTAATAAAATATTCATTTTTCGACTATCTCATCTTAATATTTTTATGCACAAAATAATGTGAGGAATCAATTGGTGTAAAAAAAACAGTTAAAGTTTAAAAAAAAAAAATGTAATTGTTAATTGTAAATTACATATTTTTTTCTTAAAAACTGTATATATAATTTTTATATCTACTTACAAAAATTAGCTTAAAATATCCTTTTTGCTTTGGTAGTTTTAAACCAAGAAGATCCTTGATTTGAGAGATAAAAACGTAAACGGCAGCTGCTGTCGTAAAGCTATTTACTAAAGTTTCACTCAGCAAAGTTGTTACAATGCCTAATCGGAATGTACACATTATTATCTACAACATAAGAGAAATCTACATTATTATCTACAACATAAGAGAAATCTTCATTTTTCATTATCTATTTGATTAAATTATATTTTGAAAAATAATATGTAATATTTACCTGATATATTCCAACCATTAATGTCACAGCTGTTGCCACTTGCATGGATGTATACGTATATGTAACATCTTCGAGATTTTCAGAAAGAGAGTCCGAAAAATTCGCTGATGTATAATCCATGACTGGATGTGAGTAATATGTTACTACCTTACCGGTCATTAGACAAACCACGGCAAAAGTTCCTGATGAATGCTAAGAATGTTTGATTGTTCAAGGTTGTTGAATAAGTTAAAGTGTATTATTTCTAATTGTTCTGTAATGGAAGTAACCAGATATGCAATAACGCTCGAAAGTTAATGCATATAAAAGCATCATATCGTAAACTATAAAAGCATCATATCTATGCAATTCTGTTGCATGTTAATATATTTTAATAAAATTTTTAAAATTATGAATTTTATATCTTAATTATACAGAGTGTCCCAAAAGTCCCGGACCGGTTGAATATTTCATAAACTATGCACTTTAGAAAGAAATGTTTCAGACAAAAGTTGTATGACTTGAAGAGGGCCATCAGATAGTGGCAATGATTTGACCTTGGAGAGTCATTTGAAGGTGACGTAAAGGTAACCTTCAATTTCTTAAATGGAACTCCCAATTTTTTATTACATATTCGTGTAGCTTATCTCGAGAGCTTTCCAAAACACTATAATAAAGTATTTCTTCATTGAGTACTTTTCGAGTTATGAGGCTTGAAATCATTTCATAATTTTGCATAAACCGTAAAATATCTAGTAAAATATTCATTTTTCGATTATCTTACCTTAATACTTTTATGTACAAAATAATGAGAGGAATTAATTGTAAAGAAAATACATAGTTATTTTTAAGAAAAAATATGTAATTTGCAATTAACAATTACATATTTTTTTTTTTAAACAACTATGTGTTTTCTTTACACCAATTGATTCCTCCCATTATTTTGTACATAAAAGTATTAAGGTAAGATAATCGAAAAATGAATATTTTACTAGATATTTTACGGTTTATGCAAAATTATGAAATGATTTCAAGCCTCATAACTCGAAAAGTACTCAATGAAGAAATACTTTATTATAGTGTTTTGGATAGCTCTCGAGATAAGCTACACGAATATGTAATAAAAAATAGGGAGTACCATTTAAGAAATTGACGGTGATCTTCACGTGACTTTCAAATGACTCTCCCATGTCAAATCATTGCTACTATCTGATGGCCCCCTTCAAGCCATACAACTTTTGTCTGAAACATTTCTTTCTAAAGTGCATAGTTTATGAAATATTCGATCGGTCCAGGACTTTTGGGACACTCTGTATAGTTTATCTATACTTTTCTTACCTATAGATACATGTTTGGATGTACCAAAAAGAAAATATATTAAGACAGGAAAGAAGGCCATGTATATGCCAACCACTGGTGGTAGGTTTCCCAAAAGTGCATATGCCATACCTTGCGGTATATGCATAATTGCCACTGTTAGACCAGAAATAATATCAGACAATATGTTTTCTCTCCAATTATACTTGCTAAGCCATTTCACTGCTGGTACTGTCGACATTATACAAGCTCGCCAATCTTTCGATCTGATGATATTTATCGCATTTTGCATCACTACAGAGAAATAAAACTTGTACTTCAAGATTTATTAAGCAGTATAGAAAATATTACTTTTTGTTAGTTTATTAAGTTATAAATACTTACAAAATGATTTTGGCTTCTCATAATTGTAATTTTGATTCAATGCCTCGTGTTCATAAAGAGGTCTCTCTAAATTTATTTGTAACAATGCATCACGCTTGTCCATGATTGCAGTCCGTAACTATTAAGTACTCTCACTCTTAAGAATTGTTTATATAAGAATTTTTAGTATAAAGAATGATGATGAAACTTGTTAGAATTCTTATTTTATCTAGACATCTATATATCTGTAATCATAAAAGATTATATCTATACGTAACTGATATTATATCTTAGCTGTTAAATAGTTAAAACATCATAATTATGTAACATCTTGACTATAATTTTTTTCCATTGTCATGTATTAAACTTGCAATAAATCAGTTAACATACACATTTATACAATATTTAGAAATAAACTTTATTAAAAAATTTATTATACATATGCAACTGCAAAAAAATGTCGTATATTAATGTAACGTGAGTGACAAAAATATATTCGACTTTTTCTCTAGTTATAATTAAAAAAAAAACTTGTATAATTAATAATTATGAAAACTTATATTAATAATTATAAGTCTTCTCTCATTATTATAAACTTTTTTATAATTTTATCTCATTACTGTTACATATATATTAAAAGTGAAAGAGAAAGAATAAACTTACCTAATAAAATATATTCAGTCTCTCTCATGTCATTGGCAGATAGATACTGAGATTCTTCGGATAGCACGTGATTAATAATCACCAGGCCATGTTCATTAGTCATATGTATGTACAATTGATTGGTTATACGTATATATAGATATAAAAATTTAAATCTCTTAATCTGTTCCGTAACGAACATCTGTTCCGTATCTGTGCCTGCGTCTGTTGATTTGACTGATGATACCAACGTGACGTGATGTGACGTGTGACATTTACTATATATACGTTTTTTTTTTAACTTGACGAAGAATGTCAGATGCTGAAGCCAGAATCCAAAGGGCATATCATGTCTTGTCACAAGAGGCGAGAGGTTTGTTACCCATTTTTGAAATCTATATATCAGTTAACCTCACATGCAATTGCTTACAGAAAATAAATAATTGACGTCCTGTTAGAAAGCCGTATCAACAAATGAATAGGAAATGTACTACTAATCCACACATAGTTTTGTAATTTTTATTTTGTTTATATATTACATAAAAAATATAAAATATTATATAGTATGTAAAAATGTCAAAATATAATTATTAATTATTGATATACTTACATGTGGAATTAATGTGCAATTAATATTAACGCAATTAAATACTCCTTTTTTATTCAATTGAAAAAAAATATTTTAAATAATATATATGTGAAAAAACAGCTATGTATAAAATGGTTTGTAATATGTATATGTGCATAAATTATATTTTATATATATATATATATATATATATATATATATATATATATATACAGGGTGGACTAAAAGTCTGGATACAGTCGAATATCTCGTATAGAATGCATTTTAGAACAAAATGCTTTAGACAAAAGTTGTAAGGATTAAAAAGATGTATTTAACTGTAATATCCATTTGACATTGAGATATTTTTTCTTCAAAGTAACTATATGTTTTCTTTACACCAACTGATTCTTCTCATTATTTTGTACATAAAAGTATTAAGGTAAAATAATCGAAATGAATATTTTACAAGATATTTCACGGTTTATGTAAAATTAAGAAATTACTTCAAGCCTCATAACTCAAAAAGTGCTCGAGGGAAAAATATTTTATTATAGTGTTTTGGAAAGCTTTCGAGGTAAGCTACAAGAATATGCAATGAAAAATAGGGGGTTCCATTTAAAAAATTCAAGTTGAATTTGCTCTGACCTTGGCGACGCCACTCAATGTCAAATGGATATTACAGTTAAATACATCTTTTTAATCCTTACAACTTTTGTTTAAAGCATTTTGTTCTAAAATACATAATATCCATTTGACATTGAGTGGCGTCGCCAAGGTCAGGGCAAGTTCAACTTGAATTTTTTAAATTATATATATATATATATATATATATATATATATATATATACAAGGTGGGCCATTTAAATGATCCACTCAAATATCTCTTAGGGAAAGCCTGCAATCAAAAAATGACGTCAGGAAAAGTTGTATGACTTGAAGAGGGCCATCAGATAGTGGCAATGATTTGACCTTGGAGAGTCATTTGAAGATGACGTAATAACTATAGTTATTTTTAAGAAAAAATATGTAATTTGCAATTAACAATTACATATTTTTTCTTTGAAACAACTATGTGTTTTTTTTACACCAATTGATTTCTCTCATTATTTTGTACATAAAAGTATTAAAACAAGATAATCGAAAAATGAATATTTTACTAAATATTTTACGGTTTATACAAAATTAAGAAATTATTTCAAGCCTCATAACTCGAAAAGTACTCAATGAAGAAATACTTTATTATAGTGTTTTGGAAAGCTCTCGAGATAAGCTACACGAATATGTAATAAAAAATTGGGAGTTCCATTTAAGAAATTGAAGGTTACCTTTACGTCATCTTCAAATGACTCTCCAAGGTCAAATCATTGCCACTATCTGATGGCCCCCTTCAAGCCATACAACTTTTACTGAGGTCATTTTTTGATTGCAGGCTTTCCCTAAGAGATATTTGAGTGGATCACTTAAAATGGCCCACCCTGTATATATATATATATATATATATATATATATATATATATATATATAAAATATTATTTAAAATGTACATTTAATCCTATAATATTAATAATCTGTGTGGTTTTATTTTTTTCTAGAATTGTATTTGCAAAATAAAGTTGCAGAAATAAATTGCACAAAAATTACACCTCTTACTTTCTACCGAGAATATGTCTCAAAAAATATACCATTGATAATAAAAGGAGCAATAAAACACTGGCCTGCTATAAGCAAATGGTCCATACCATACCTTCATAAAGTATTTGGCGATGAAAATGTTTCAGTCGCTGTAACGCCAAATGGTTACGCAGATGCAATAGCTAGAAAAGATGACACTAAGGAGGAGTTTTTTGTAATGCCTGAAGAACGTTTACTCACAATGTCCGAGTTTCTCAATACATTAGAAAATGCAAAGAAAGACAGTGTATTTTATATACAGAAACAAAATTCAAATTTTATAAATAGTTTTCATAAATTATGGTCAGATGCAGAAATTGAAATATCATGGGCCACCCAAGCATTTGGAAAGCAACCTGATGCTGTAAACTTTTGGATGGGAGATGAAAGAGCTGTAACTTCCAGTAAAGTTTTATTTGACTTGATAACATTTTGGAAAAGTATCTTAATATCTCAAATTTAAAAAAAAATTGTTACAAGATTGTTAGTTGCATTTTATTTTTATAACATTTTATGTTAATATCTTAATATCTCAAATTTAAAAAAAAATTGTTACAAGATTGTTAGTTGCATTTTATTTTTATAACATTTTATGTTATAACAATAAAATGCATCTAACAATCTTGTAACAATTTTTTTTTAAATTTGAGATATTAAGATATTATGACAAATTTTATATACTATCCACATCATATTTTTTACAAGTCTATATATATTTATTATCTATATGTTTAATTCTAAAAGAACTGAAAAAATTCACATACTAAAGTACTTTATTAATTTATATATAGTGCATAAGGATCCTTATGAAAATATATATTGCGTTGTATCTGGTGAAAAGAATTTTATTTTACATCCTCCCACGGATTTACCATGGATTCCATATAGAGATTATCCATCCGCTGTTTACAAAGAATATGAACGTGGAAGATGGATTATTGAACCGATAGCTAATGAAATGTCTAATTTAGGACAAACTGCCAATTCGACATCGATACCATGGATATGTATAGATCCTTTAAATCCAGATTATAAAAAGTTTAGTATGAATACAGCATACAATTTTCCTTTTTAGACATTTATTTATGAGAATAAGACTAAAACATTTATTTTTAGATATCCAGAATATCATAATACACATACTTTGAAAGTAACACTGAAAGCTGGAGATGTACTATATTTACCATCTTTATGGTTTCATCATGTGAGACAATCACATGCTTGTATATCCATCAATTATTGGTACGATATGGAATTCGATATTAAATATGCATATTTTAAAACACTTGAGACGTTGTGCAAATAAACAAGTTTGTAGTTAAGGCACACTTTAAACATTTGTATATAAACTGTGCTATTTTATTTTAAAATCAGCAGTGCATGCAAGAGACTAAAGAAAAATTATATATATATATATATATATATATATATATATATGTGTGTGTGTGTGTGTGTGTGTGTGTGTATCCACTGTACACATACTATTTCATACTAATTATGTACTGATCGTGACATCATGTATATTTTTTAATTAATATGTGTGTATATATTATATATATATATATATTTAAATATATATATATATATATATATATATATATTTAATATATATATAATATATATTTAATATATATATATATATACATGTATGAATTTATGTATATGTCAATAATATTTATTAAATTAAATGCACATCTGTATCACTTGTGCCATGATACAAAGAAATTGCTAATTCTTATGAAGAGTTATTACATTTATAGAATAATATTATGACTGCTCTTTATGAAACTCTCAAGAGACTACGAGAAAATTTAAGTCAGGCCGTTTCATCATTATTTTCGGAAATTAAATGATATTTACGTCTTGTACCATATGTAGAGTGCTGAGTTTCATACATCTTTCGATTTTCTAAATATTTTCGATAATTATTCTCACGCTTCCTTCTTTGCTCTTCTGCTTGCTGTCTCAATTTTTCAGGATTCATATGAGTAGTCACCATATGTCTCGTCAATGAACTCATGAATTTATATGTGATACCACATACGTCGCAAGAGAGTATTTCCTCATTTCCTCCTTGTTGCTGTACATAAGAGAAAGATAATTCTTATAATTCTTTAATTTGTGACAAAAATAATTTGCAAAAATGGAAATAAGTACAAAATGTCAAAATAAATCAAATTACAACAATCAAATTATATTTGTAATTTTTTTCTATATATTAAAGAGAATATTATAAAAAGTATAATATATTAAAATAATCTTACACGTACTTGCTGATGTACCATCATGTGTCTTTGCAAGTTATTCAATCTGTTAAACTCACGACCGCATACTTCACAATCGAATTTCTTATCAGGATCGTGATATTTTTTGTGCATACTCAAGTCAGTTGCATGATTAAAGGTTTTTTGACATATGTCACACGTATATTTGCGCTGTTCATTAGGCATGTGTGATTCTTCGTGTTTCGCTAAACTAGTCTTGTCCATGAACCGGCGACCGCAGTAGATGCAAGGAAGCGGTCGCGATTGCGAATTGTGTAGCGTCAAATGACGACGTAATGCTGTAGAAGTAGGAAAGTTTTTATGACATTCTAGGCATTGAAACGGTCGATCGCCGGTGTGCGTCTTTCTATGGCGAGCTAAAGAAGTCTGATCTGGATACCTGGCAGAAAAATAAAAAATTTAATATAAATAAAATTTTTTTTGCACATTAAAAATTGTTTGTTAAAAAAAATTAAATTTTTTATTCAACTTGTATTTAAAATGTAAGTTTTAAAATTCGCTTACCTCTTAGGACACAAATCGCAAGGAAAGTTTCTTGTAGTTATATCTTCCTCGCGAGCATGTTTTAATCTATTATGTCTGAGTAATTGACAGGATGTTTTAAAACTTTTGTTACAGATGTCACATTTTAAATTATCCGTTGTCGGTATAATGACTTGAGTTCTCTTTTGTCCATTTTCATCCTCCGATATTATCAAGGAAATGGTTACGGTATTGTCTTCATTATCAAAATCTTGAAGCGATGTCGGTGATACGGTATTACTGGTTGTCTAGTAAATTTTGTAAATGTAATTAAATTTGTAAGCATAAAGTGAAATGAAAATTTCTCCTTAATATGAAATCTATCAACATATATTAGATCCATACCTGTTTATTAGAAACAGGTTTAGATTCTGACTCAGGCAAACTTATGTAACTATCATCTTCAATTGTCTCATTGTTTTGTTGAGATTTCGATTGCAATGATTGCAATGATTCTTTATTATTAGTATGATCGTCACTGGTTTCAGCAATCGCATAATTTCCGTCCTCGGTCAAATACACTGGCTGCAAAACTCCGCTAGCATCTTTAAAGTACAATTGACCATCCTCGTCCTCATGTAAAAATATCTGATCCTATGCAAAAATAAAAATATTTATGATACATTTGTTCATAACATTTGGTTCACTTTTTAACAAGAGATGTTACTTGAGAATTGTCTTCTTCCTGATTTTGATTAGATTCGGGATTTGCTGGTTCCCAAGACATTTGTTCGTCTTGCTCTATTGTTGCATTATCATACTGATATTGCTCATTGTCGTCAATAGCTTGTGCTACATATAATGTTTCCATATTATCCCCTTCATAGTAAATGGTACCCTCGACCGGTATAGTGTTCTCTTCGAGTCGTTCCATCTAAGATAACACAATCATTACAACAATATTAAAAGATTATATTTCTTTGTATTCTTATATTTTTTTTCTCGTCTACATCTCTTCAGAGGGATAAAGAGGGGTTTATAGAATTTTCAAAAATGAAAATCTATATCTTGGTAAATGCACTAAGTAAAATATATATTGTGCACGTTTAAATTTTCGCGAATAATTTAAAAAAAATTTATGCACTATCAGTGATTATGCACCGCAGTGACTCTTAATTGCTAGTTCAGTTTAGTTATCATGTTGTTAAAATACATAAAGAGCTTTATTCTTTAATTTATTATATTTCTTTGTATTAATATTTCAAAAATATACTTACTTTGACATAATGTGCATCATTGAGCTTTTCTTGTTGTTGCTTAGACGAGTCTTGTTTCTTTGTACCAAGCACAGTGTACAATAAATTATTCTCTACATTTTTCACTATCTCATGAGTTGTCTCGCTATCATCATTAATATTATTTATATCATTTCCGATACCGTTGTCTGTTCGAGATTTATCCGATCTTTTCATGGGATCCGCATGAATTCTTAAATCTATTTTGTTTGATTGTAATGAAACAGTTTGATTATTTACGTGTTTGTTATCAACCTGTAAAGGATCTGTACTATTGCCCACTAATTCAGAAGTATTATCCAATTCATCAATACGTTCCAGTTCTTCATCTTGCCAGTCTTCATCGACATCATAATTAATAACTTGTTTATTAATAGTCTTCCGTGTACTATTAATATCTTTGGCAGAGTCCTTCTTATCTTGTAAAGCAAACACTGAATTCTCCTCGTCAAAGCTATAAAGTTCTAGATGTTTCTTAGATTCTTCATCATTTTTCTCTGTTTTCTCAACTATACTATCCTTTGTATCCACTGACTTATCTTTATCCTCCGACAAAGATACATCACCATCTGGAGTAGTCTCATCACATTCTTCAATTTCCTCAATTATTTCTATAATTTCCTCTATTTCTGCCTCTTCAGAATCCTCAGTTGCTTCAAAAATAATATCTTCCTCTGTGACGCTTCCAGCTTTCAGCACCTCCATAACATCTCTATTATCCATAACTAAGCTCTCCAATATTTCTGATGATACCTCCATTCTTAGATCATTTATACAGATATCTAAAAAATAAACATTATATATGTATATGTGTGTGTGTGTGTATATATATATATACACATGGTGTCCCGAAACTCATAATCAATCTTTCAAAGACAGATTCCTGAGATCATCTGAAGACGATTTTTCCTCAACAAAAATGTCGAGGCACTAATAATTTTCGAATTATAAGTGATTGGAAATAAGGGGTTTTTCGTAAACTAAGCTTTGTAGAAATAAAATATTAACAAAACCACATTTTTCAATTAATTTTAAATACAGTTTACTTTAGTTAAGTTTTAATTTAAGACTTAATTGTCTAATCGTAATTGTAATCTTAAAGATATATGATGACAAAAATCAGGAACATGCAAAAAATGATGATCTTCATCGACATTTTCGCTGAGGAAAAATCGTCTCCAAATGATCCCAGGAATCTGTTTTTAAAAGATTGATTATGATTGAGTTTTGGGACATCCTATATATATATATATATACACACACATAAATATATATATATATATATATATACACATAAATATATATATATGAATAAGTATATAACAATGAGTGAAAATTAATAGGTACAAATTTTAGTATTAATGAATTATTATATATATATATATATATATATATATATATAAAATAATTATATATATAATAATAATTATATATATAATTATTATATATATATATATATATATATATATATATATAATAATTCATTAATACTGAAATTTGTACCTATTAATTTTCACTGTTATATACTTATCCATATTAAGTTTTTATTTTATCAAAATGTGTATATATATATATATATATATATATATATATATATATAATATATTTTGATAAAATAAAAATTTAATATGGATAAGTATATAAACAGTGGGTGAAAATTAATAGGTGCAAATTTCAGTATGAATGAATTATTATACTGGCTAAGGAATAGCGTAGGTACGTCTTTACAACGGATACTTGTACGGAAATGTTCACTTGCGGCCAAATTCAAGGCGTCGTGAAAGGAGCGCGGACGCGAAATATTCCAAAATATTCAAAGAAAACGACACGTCGCAACACGACGAAGGTCGGGTTTTCGCGGCTTGCGCATCATGTCGAGATATGTCGGCCAGTAGAAGACTGGCAGAAAGCAAGTCCTCGCGAAACGTTCGGCTTCCCCTTGTTGTCAGAGCGCGTCGAAAAAAGCATTCACGATGGACTTATATTTTGACACTTTGCACGACGCGATCGTCCCCGCGCGAGGCCTCGCTCACCAGTCGGTACGGTAAAATTCCGTAAATTTATCAACGGATAGCAATATGGCCAACAGCACAGAGGGGAGAGCGTTTATCGTCACGCGGAATGCGAAGCGAGCTACGAGTGAAAGCACGCGCGCGCGCGCGCGATCCGATATCCAATTATTCTCGCTCGTCATCGATCAGCGTACCTACCGTAATTTCGCGAGATTGCAGCGGCGCGCGTGTAAATACGCGAAATAAGATTTGGCCAAGTGCTCGGTCGATACGCCAATTGCTCGGAGTCCCCTGTTCTGTCTTCTCCACCAGGCGAGCGACGCCAAGCCCGCGCTCGAGTGGCCCTTGTGCGCACGCGCAACCGGAAAAGCTTAGCTATATAGGTTCCGAATTTATTGTCGGTACTGAAAATCTATAGTTCATCTCACGTATACTATAGATTTTCAGCACTGACAGTAAATTCGGAACACGACCATACTGTGGACTCTTGATCCACAATCTTGGCTGCGTTCGGAAACATCACCCGAATGATGGCCCCGGGTATCATTTTATCCTTGTTGTTCATCGAATGTTAAACAAGGATAAAATGATATTCCTAGTACACTCGGATGATGTTTCCGAACGCAGCCCTTGGGGTACTTTCCGATTCACGCATGATGCGCATGAAGCGACAGAAAATATATAATTCATGTCACGCATATTAAGGCCATTCTACAATGACCGTAGCATAAGATTGTAAGGCGTAAGACTCAAGAAATTGACCAATCACAGTCGAATATTCTCTTAATACTTGACTGTGATTGGTCAATTTCTTGAATCTTACGCCTTACAATCTTATGCTACGGCCATTGTAGAATGGTCTTTAAGCGGCCTTTTCATTGACACTAGAAACCAGCGGCTATTGTAGCGCTACATAAGCGTGTTTTACATTATTAAAGTACGTTATAGTACCCAAACAGCACACATGTCCAAGAACCATCTAAAAAACGACTTAAAAACATCTTAAAGTCCTCTAGACATCTTTAAGACATCTTTTAGCCTTTTTGTGTTGTCTGGATAGCGCTATAAAAGTACGTTTCAGGACTTTCTGCTACAATTGTAGCGGTCGCCATTTTTTTCTGCTACAATTGTAGCAAAAAAGCTGTAGCGCTATTGTAGTGATGCGACCCCGAAACACACTCATTGCACCTTTACACGTCGTCTACAATGGCAATAAGATTAATGGATTAAAGCTGTAACTTAAGGAATTGACCAATCACAATCAAGCATTAAGAAAATACTCGACTGTGATTGGTCAATTTATTGAGTTACTCGGATTAACTGGATTGTGGAACTGGGCCTGAGTCCTGATTGGTCCATTCACTACTTAAACTCGGATTAACTGGATTGTAGAACTGGGCCTTAATAGATTAAAGATGTAACTTAAGGAATTGACCAATCACAGTCAAGCATTAAGAGAATACTCGATTGTGATTGGTCAATTTATAGAGTTACAGCTTTAATTCATTAATCCTACTGTCATTGTAGACGCTAAAGATCATTCTACAATGGCCGTAGCATAAGATTGTAAGGCGTAAGACTCAAGAAATTGACCAATCACAATCAAGTATTAAGAGAATACTCGACTATGATTGGTCAATTTCTTGAGTCTTATGCCTTACAATCTTATGCTACAGCCATTGTAGAATGGCCTTAAAGCAAGATAATGGACCAAGGGTAAAGCAGGATCTACATTGATCGTATCGTAACGTCGTAAGTCGTAGGCAAATTGACCAATCATGGTTGATCATTTTTGAAATAATCGACTATGGTTGGTCAATTTGCTTACGACTTGCGACGTCACGATACGACCAATGTAGATCCGGCTTAATAGATTCGCATGATATCGCAATGAATAGGGAAATTAATCGATGAAAAATATTAAAATTAAACTCATGTATTTTAGTCATTATGTATTATATATTCGAATTTTTATATACGTATATATGTATGTATATGAGGGAGGATCCCAGTTGCGCATAAAATGAAACGGACACAACCAATCACATTGACCGATGCTTAGAAGCCTAGCACGGTTGACCAATAGAGAGTCCGAGAGAGTCCTGTGTCCGATTTATTCTGTGCGCAACTGGGCCTCACTCGTATATAACTATTAAATGGAAGGACATGATCACATTAGCTGCGTTCAGCAGGAAAGCTGCTTTGCAACTGTTGTAAAATTCGTGAATCTGATTGGTGCATGCTTTTAGATTCAGTTAAAAATAAGAGCATACATCAATCAGGCTCACGAATTTTACAACAGTTGCAAAGCAACTTTTTCTGCTGAACGCAGCCATTCAGCAGAACTCAACCGTTAAGTAGCAATCGAACGTAATTGGTTTCTACTTTCAGATTCGACCAATCAGCTTCGAATTACGGAAAATCTAGTAATGTTGCCCAACTTGAGTCCATAGACTTTTATATAATACACTAGATTGCGAACTCCTTATATATTAAATGTACTCAATTTTTATGTATAAAACTAGCGCATGCGCCAAATAAGCTGACATGGAATGTGTTTTTTTGCTAACATGACGTATTTTATGACGTCATAAGATTTACTGTGAGCTGCGTTCCAAAATTAACTGCCAATATTAAAAATCTATCTAGTTTACGTGACATATAGGGTGCTTTCCAATTGTTTAAAGCCTTAAAGGCTATAGGCCGCAGCACATACTTTTGCATAAGCGCATAACCATAAGTATAAGGAAATTGATTGGTCCCCAAGTATATGCATAAGCATGGACGTAAGAAATACTTACTGGACAGAGTGTATTGCTGCGGGGGTGAAGCTTAAAGGATGAAGGGAAAGAAATGTCTACTGCAACGGAATATGAGGCATGTAAGACAGAGACATGGCGACGGATATTAATTTCACGGAGTGTGATATTTTTGAATTTCTTAATATTCAAAAATGATTCGGAATAACACAGCAATTTCAGTTGATAGATGATTTCACGGAATCTCTCATATTTTATTCGATTTACGTCCGTGCGATGTGAAAATAGATGCTAAATATGATGCATCTAAGATGGCCGCGACAATAAACCCCTTACCCCTCAGATTTCACTCCCCTAGTCTAAAAGAGTACTTTATGCTCTGTCCAGTATTTCTTACGTCCATGTGCATAAGAAAATGAACCAATCAATTTTCTTATGCTTATGGTTATGCGTTTATGCAAAAGTGTGTGCTGCGGCCTTAGGGCCCATCCAGACAAACTTGCATAGGTGCATATGCATAACATAAGACCATATGGACCAATGAGCATCGAGTATTATGTTATGTAAGTCAATATAGCGATTTAATGCTCGATGCTCATTGGTCCATATGGTCTTATGTTATGCATATGCACCTATGCAAGTTTGTCTGGATGGGCCCTAAGGCCGCAGCACACACTTTTGCATAAACGCATAACCATAAGCATAAGAAAATTGATTGGTTCATTTTCTTATGCACATGGACGTAAGAAATACTGGACAGAGCATAAAGTACTCTTTTAGACTAGGGGAGTGAAATCTGAGGGGTAAGGGGTTTATTGTCGCGGCCATCTTAGATGCATCATATTTAGCATCTATTTTCACATCGCACGGACGTAAATCGAATAAAATATGAGAGATTCCGTGAAATCATCTATCATCTGAAATCGCTGTGTTATTCCGAATCATTTCTGAATATTAAGGAATTCAAAAATATCACACTCCGTGAAATTAATATCCGTCGCCATCTTACATGCCTCATATTCCGTCGCAGTAGACATTTCTTTCCCTTTGAGCTTCACCCCCGCAGCAATACACTTTGTCCTGTATTTCTTACGTCCATGGCTATAACCTTTATATAACATAATACTCGATGCTCATTGGTCCATATGGTTTTATGTTATGCATATGCAACTATGCAAGTTTGTCTGGATAGGCCCTAAAGTTAGCCGGACTTTAACTTTTTTATAATTTAACTTATCTAATTGTTTTTTATGGTCGTTTGGTGATGATTGGTAGTTTAATTAAAACGTTTGGTAGTTAATCGTTTTTTTTTAATTACAAAATTAAAATGTTGCTGTAAAGTTAACCGAACATTTCTTTATTTTTAGTCTAAATCGATTAAATCAGGGCTTTTTCGATGCAGAATCGTTTGGTGGTGATTGGTAGTCTAATTAAAATGTTTGGTGGTCCTGCTGCTTTATATATGCTGCAATATTGCAGCAACGGTAAAATGTCCGCTTGTAGAAATATTGCAATGCAATATTGCAGAAATGCAACGTATTTGTAATATTAAAACGCGTTTTGCTACAAATGCACACACCGTTTTAAATTTAATAAATAAACTTTAAAAATATAAAAAAATGTTTAAGAAAGATAGGAAAAAGTGCCTTTAAAAAACATCTATTAATGTTTTTATTAGATGTTTCGTAAATATTTATCTCAATAATATTACATACAATTATTTTACATACATTCGACACCAGAATATTTTAATACGTGCAATAAATGAATTATTTCCTATTTACCCATTCAATTAAGAAAAATCTGTTTAATATTCTGAAACCTAATGAAGGACCCAGATTATTAAACAAATTATTTGTTTAATAATCTAGAACCCTCATTAGGATTCAGAATATTAAGTAAATCAAGTCAGTTTATCGCCAGAAATTAAACTGACACAAGACAAGAAATATAATTACTACATTAATCCTTTGTAGATCTTATATCCATTTAGATGAATTCGAATACAAGTTAGTTAAATTGAGTGTCGCTGCGTAGCGGCAAGTAAAGAAACACATGTTATACATTTTCGTTATATTAAAACGTTGCTGCAACATTGCCAAAGTAATATTACAAAATAATGTCTCTGCATTATTGCTGCAACATTACACTGCAGTGAGGAATATTGTAACATTGCAGCAACGTTGCAGCTTCTGTGTTGTATGGATAGTATCGATTACGAATTAATATCACATAATTTATTGTACTTGGCTAATAGTATTGATCTCATATTAGTTTTTAAATATTTTATTTTTATCACTCTTTTAGATTTTTTTGATTTTATTAAAGATACTTTTCATATATTTTTTTACCTTTATAAGGTTTTTTTAAAGGTTATCATTTTCTTCAATTAATGACTCTAATAGTGCAATTAGAACTGTATTATTTCTACTTGAATAACTTGTAACTATATTGAGAGAATTTCGACATTTTAAGAGAGCAAAAATCGCGATATATCTTAAACACGATTCGATTTCCATTCATCATAGCATTGCGATATGGCGTTATGACGTCCGAATTTCTTACGATTATTGTTGTTGTTTAGGAATGAATTCGATCAATTCTAATCTTAATTCGCGATTAGTAATTCTAATCTTAATTCGCGATTTAGTAAAATTATTTACAAAATCTTACTAAAATTTTTAATTGTGATTTGTACGTTTCTTGTGTAATCTTTCTTTTTTATATGTCAGAAAACAAAAAATTGATAAAACTCTATATTAACACAATTTTGCAAATATTATTTAGTAAATCAATTATTGAGTAAATTAATTAATTAAAGTTTAATTATATATTTAAAGTGAATTTTAGACACGAAAGATTTGCGAAAGATTTTATTTATATTTATTTTTATCTTTTATGTGTTCGTTTTCTTTTATTTATTTCTCATTTCAAATAATATTTCAATCAATTATATTAATATGATATATTTTTTTCATATAATATCTGATTATGTGATCAAATCTGAATCGTTATACCTTTATTATTGTGATGTTATCGACGACCTCAACTATGCAGATATTTTTTATTACATGATAATACAGAAATATCGCATGTAGATAAAATTCTCGGGTTACAAGAGCTTACGCTAGATGACATTAGTGAACACTTTATAATATATCGCCAAGAGATGATTACGTAACAATAATATACATAGTATTTTAAAGTTGTTGTGAATAAAATTTTAATACATTAAAATCATAAAAATATTATGTACTTCATGACAATTATAATTTTCCGACAAATATATTTTTAACCCTTTTGGTTTGGTATGATACGTCACGCATTTATGTATGAAACTAGAGATGAAGTTCCAAATACTATTCTACATATGTATCATAGTATTTAACAATAGATTTAAAAATACAGTTCATTCTTCATCTCACATACAAAACTTTAATCAATCTGGATGGTATAATATTAATAATAATTACAATGCCGATTATTTCCTTTATGAATTATCGAAGCATTTACTTGACTTGGAATTTTAGGAAAGGCTTAATGTTGCAATGTTGTAATGTTGTATTCGGAAAAATATCGACAATACGAAATTAAGTGCTAGGTGAAACTTTCGGTTCCACTCAACTCGCGAAATGATTGATCGGTGTCGGAAACGACCACAGCAGCTTTTGTGCGCAAATAAAAAGGCTTGGCCTCCGCGTACTCGAGAGTAGTATTATATATATAATGGATTTAACCTTCCACCCTGCGCGTGCGTGCGCTTCCATGCAAGGGGGCGCGGGGACAGAAATTAATTATGTTTGTTTAATTTCGAGATGAAAAAAGCTACTGGCATTGCCTCGCCCATGCATGACTTTAATCCGAAAAAGAGATAAACGAAGACAGAGAGAAAGAAAGAGAGAGAGAGAGAGAGAGAGAGAGAGAGAGAGAGAGAGAGAGAGAGAGAGAGAGAGAGAGAGAAGTTACTGCTGAAATTTTTATATACGAAAACACAAAAAAAATTTGAACGATTTCAATTATAAATTTCAAAAAATATGCTATATATATATATATATATATATATATATATATATATATACAGATATTTTATGTTTTATTGTGCTATAAATTTCAATATAGCTTGTGATTTTAAGAAATATTTTTCTAAAAATACAATATGTGTATATATCTTCTTCAACTTTACAGTAATTTCAATTTATTAAATCATAGATTTGCTCTCTCCTTTTTCAAATCGTAAAATACTGTCGCGTTTTTCGGAAAGATTAATGTATTGCTTTAAGAATAAAAATGCAATTACATAATAATAATGTTTATAGAATTGCTCAGTAATTGGATGATTTTTATCTTCAAATCGCCGCATAGACTTTGAGATGCGATGATAATTTACGATTTAATTTTACGATTCAAAACAATTCAACGGAGCACAAATCTGAAAATGTGTGATTTTATAAAATGAAATTATTGTAAAGTCAAGAAGAAAAACCATATGTTATATTTATATATATATTATATATATATTATAAAACATGGAACATTTTTCCTAAAGCCGCACAAAATATATTAATATAATTAGTAGGTCGGTTCAATTCAAAAGACATGCTCGTTGATAAAAACGTAATACCACGGATATGTAGCGGTAGAATTATTCACAACATGATCAATCGTTACATCATAACGATGCAACGTGTACTGTGTGTCGTTATGCCTGCATTCGCATATATGTTGTTCGATATCGATGTGCCATCAGTCACGTTGCAACATAGTGTGTTTGTTGCTCTCGTCGATTACCGGATATCAACGCCTCACATTTCCCTATGCATGCCAGAAAATGGAACGAAACTCGAGATAAGCATCTTATTAACTATGCTGCGTATTGACAAAACTATACTTGTTGTCTATTTTATATCAATTGCGTCCATAATGCAATAAATAATTTTTGACCAAAACATTTCTCGTTATCATTCTTAATATCGTTAATCGATAAGCATATAAGCTTTATATACCGATTCTGTAATCGTATAATTATGTTCACTTCGAAAGACATGGGATTATTTTCATGTTTTAAAAGACATACGTGGAATTTTCTCAAAATACATCATTTATACACGCATCGAAATTTTTAGTAAAATTTCCTTTATTGTAAAATTAAATGAGAATAAAAAAACACTTTCATTGTCATGCAATTCTTGTGAAGTAACATATATAACTCTATTAAACTTTATTAAACTCTATTAAAAATAATTTCACAGCTACGCATAATTTATCTAATCTATTTACAAATAAAATTTAGGTTAATTATTGCGCAATTTGAATATACAGGAATGTTCTTGTGTAGTTTAATACAAAATAGAATAGAATATTTTGGCGATAACGACTAAATGGTTTGTTTTTTAAGATAAGAATATCGTAACAATAAAGGTTTCTAAGAGATAAATTTTTCCGTTAAATATCTCTTCCAGTTTGTAAGACTTTGGAACGCATTCCAAATCCAACGACAGAGCGCGATAATATTTACAACTTTCAGTATTGCTTTTCTGTAAATAAATGACCCGAATATAATGGTACAGTAAATAGCACGCGCGCAGTTTAAAACGCTCTTTTACAACAGAAACGCGAGTTTCCTGGAAAAGATTCGAGAAATAATCGCTACACGAAACGATCAAAAGATCTTTCCCGGAAAAATGCATGCAGCCGGAATGCAGTAACATGTGGATTTATTCGAGGACACATCCGACAATCGAATGCACTGCATTTTTTATTGCATTTAAATTTTTAATTTTATATTTTTCATATCATATTGTATTTTTCATATTATATTTTGATATGTTCCAATTTTCGCGAACAGCAGACATTATAAAACATCGAATGAAAAACATTAATTGATAAGCAAAAGTTAAAAATATTGTTCGTAAAGTTTTTACAAATTTTGATAAAATGTTAAAGAGTAAAATTGGTGAGAATTTAGGTGTATTATCATTTTAGAAAATAAAATATATTTTTAGATAAATCTCTCACTTTGATTATTCTCTAATGGCACACTTGCAGCAAGTGAATAAATTGAATTGTAAATTTATCTCGGAGTCAATGCATAAAGTTTGCACAGTTTGTGCAGAGTTTGTCGATTACACTAAAATTAAAATCGAAAATGATAATGACGAATGTTTTGATCGGCTTGAAAACCGTTTAATGCATCGCGAACGTAATTGCATAAGATACGGACAATCAAATATGGACATATGTAACAATCATATGATAGTATGGAACAATTGAGATTAGTGCTTATTATGATACATTTTACGCAATTAAAATGTTGGCATGTTAACATGACAAATAATCAAATAATAAATATCGTTATCTAAAGTTTATTAGGTAAAAAAATATTTCGTGAAAATATTCATTATTTCTTTTTCGAACAAAATTTCATTTAATAAACTTCAACATTTAATAAAAATGATATGATGAAACAAACATTTTATAGATTTAAAGATATAAATTTCGAAACTTTGAGTAGTCATATCATTATATTACCATTTTAGGCGAAGGATTTCATCTATTTTTAAAATCTTCCAAGATACACGAAACTCGATATAAAATATGTCATATCTTACATTTTGTATTTGCTTATTTTTTTATTATCGCCGTAACTTTTTGAAAACATCAACTTTGACAAACGCGAAACGTACATAAGCCCGTTTGCTCGTCCAAAGTTGTACACGACAAGGAGAGACGGCGATAGATCCGTAGATAGCCGCGTGGGAGCGGGACAGCGAATGTAAAACGTCGTTTCCACTTAATCACGCAAGATCTCTAAGCATCGCTGTCAAGAGAGCTTATCAAGTCTCGAGATTAATTTCACCGGTATCGCCCGCGCGAATCCATCAGAAACGACCTTCGATGTTTTTGACAGTTCACGACAGCTCGCGTCACGTGGCTGCTTCGAAATTTCAATCGGTGTAATCGCACCTTAATCTTGCGGTGCCGGCGTTCAAACGCTCCCTCCAGCGGCGCGGATGGCCGGCGGTGCGCATGCGCTTACCATTTCCTAGCAGCGCCGATCCACCGACCAATAGGACGCTCCGGGTAACGTCATCGGCGGCCACTCGGCGATGCGATCGGTGACGACGTCTCTATTTTCGGCCGACGTGACTCACGGGATATAAGCGAGTACGTTTAGTTGGGTGTTCACAAGTTGTCGAGCCATCGTCGTGCACGGGTAAATACGCCTTTGCTCGCGCAACGATCGTCGCGATCTCTGCATTCCGCAACAGAGAGACGGCACACGCGCACCGTTCGCGTCGCCGTGAGTCATTGTTGTGTTGACACCCGTAGCGTGTGGTAGTCGCTCCTCATGCACGGTGTTACCGCGCGGTAAACCGTATCAAACGTCGACGCGACGTGCCTTCTGCGACGTCGATTCGCGATCAGCAGTGCCGTCGGTAATTGTGCGCGATATACCGAGTGTCGCGAACCGTGCTACGTGAAGTACAGAGAGAGATATATATGTAATCAGCATTGGTGGATTTTTACAGTCGCGCGCGCAGTTATATAATCGCCGCAGCGGAGCAAAGCGCTTGCGAGAATTGACGTAGACGGAAAGAGAGATAGAGAAGGAAGAGGAGAAGCAAGAAAGAAGATAGATACATCGCCTACACATATACTACAGTATAAAATAACGTGTACATACCTACATGTATGCTGACGAGTAGGAACAAGTTGTTGAATGTTTGACGGAAATTGCAAGAAGATTCTTCGTTTGGTAGCTCTTCGGACCCGATAAGCGAGCCGCAGAGACTGCTCGCTCCGGAGGCGAAAAGCAACGGTGGTTCGCGAGGGAGAATCGGTATTCCATCGAGCGACGAGTTGATCAGCCCGGCGGTATCCATGGTGCGAAGCCTGACGATGGAACCGACGTTCTACGAGAACGCGAGCGTTTACGGAACGGTGAACGGTCGCGAGAACAGCATGGGCCAGCTTAAGCGGAACCTCACGCTCGATTTGAACGGTTGCCAGAGGCAGGGACCTCAGGTGAAGAGGCCGCGGTTGGGTCCGCTGCCACCTGCCCTCAACAACGTCACGCCGATCCTGAGCTCGCCGGACCTCAATATGCTGAAGCTAGCCTCGCCGGAGCTAGAAAAGTTCATCATGACACAGTCGGATAGCCTGGTCACCGGTCTCCCTACACCAACTACCCAAATTCTATTTCCCAAGACGGTCACTGAAGATCAGGAATTGTACGCGCGCGGCTTCATCGACGCGCTTAATGAACTACATCACTCCGATAGTTCGCAGGAACCCGGCAGCGTGCACGGTGCGACTTATACAACTCTCGAACCGCCCGGTAGCGTGCAGAGCACAGAATCTACTATGAGCAATCCGAACTTGGTGCACGTGAAGGACGAGCCGCAGACGGTACCGAGTGTATCGAGCACACCGCCGATGTCACCGATCGATATGGAGAACCAGGAGAAGATCAAGCTGGAGAGGAAGCGACAGAGGAACCGCGTGGCCGCCTCCAAGTGCCGACGGCGCAAACTCGAGCGCATCTCCAGGCTCGAGGACAAGGTCAAACTGCTCAAGGGCGAGAACACCGAGCTAAGCGGTATTGTGCACAAGCTCAAGGAACACGTGTGCCGGCTCAAGGAGCAGGTTATGGACCACGTGAATGCCGGCTGTCACATCGTGCCTGGCCAATTCTGAAGTTTCTCAAACGCCGCCTCCCCCCCAGAGATGAAACTGCGAATGTTAATGCTCGCTCCTTTTACAATTGTTCTCTCGTCGGGCCCGCTATCGTGCTCTTCATCATCTTGCCTTTCGTAGTTCCACGAAGGAGCTTTTGAACACTGAACTCTTGCAACAGTTGTTAATTAACAGTTGTCATTCGGTTTCGTTCTTCCGCGACTGTAACCAGGAAGAATCTTCATCGTGTGGATACAGGCTTATGTTTCGCATATGAAAAATGTTCTCTCTATTTCGACCTCAAGAAAATTTAGAAGCTTCCTTCCCTTTTATATGAGAAAGGAACCAAACAGCCCTAAAAAAGCAAAGCTCACTTCTGCCTACTGATACTGCTAATGGAAAAGTTCATGATACACAAAGGAAACGTTATCTTAAAAAAGGAAACAAAGTGTCTCCATGCCGGAAGAAAAAAGAAAGGTGAAGGGAGGAAGAGAAACAAGTCAGTCAATTGCCGCAACTAACTTATAATCCTAAACTAAATTCTAAACTAACAAAGGAGTCGGAATCGAAGGAGAAGGAAGTCTGAACTCCGCCTCGAACCGCCGTTCTCTCCCTAAAGCGATGGAGAACGAAGATCCCAAAATCGTCCGTGATCGGATTTTTCGATCCTTGTGATTGACTTGAAAAATGTTTACAGTTTTCTATCTTAATTCTTTTGTGACTTGACTGGAAGGAGACACCATCGCGCGACGGAACAGCAACAGCGGGCGGAGCAGGAGAAGGAGGTGACGGTCAAAGTGGAGAAGGAGGAAGGAGTGCCTTCGTAGAAACGTGAAACGTAAAGAATGCTTTTAGAAGAGTGGCGGGCGTGCGCGCGTGCGTGTTTTGCGCATGCGAGAGACTTTATGCGCACGAACACGCTCGACGAATGCGTGCGTGCATGTACGAGAGGGAGAAAGAGTATGAGAGAGCGAAAGAGAATATATACGCGTGCAAGAAGGAGGGAGAGGTAGCGCGAGGGGGAGAGCATCGCGACAGCCATTTTAGAGAACGCTCGGCGGGAGCTGAGGCGGGAGATACGAATCTTTCTACTGGAAGGTTCAAGCTCTTCTTTCATTCTTCCCGTTTTGTTATCGGAGAAGCCCCATTTTCACGACCTTCGAACGTCCCTTTGTATTTTAGAGCGCACAGAGAAAAATATCATTCTACTGCCAAGAAAAGCGATTACTCAGTTTCTTTTTCTTTTTTTAAGTAATAGATTTCTTCAACAAGGAATATATTCTCTTGATAATAATCTTAAAATATACTCATCACAAGTGTTAGAAGGTCTCATTATCGTGAACTCGAAAGAAGAATTTATTTTTCTTTTCAAGAATATTGTAAAGTATGTTGTATCAAAGAAAAATCAAACTTACTTTACATCAACTCTTGTAGTAAACAAACCAAATTTTTCTTTCAATTTAATATTTCTGACTAAAATACGGCGCTTACTAAAATTCAGAATGTATTCAATTAAATTTAATGCTTGTGATAAACTTATGATATATTTGCGGATATACAAATTTATGATATACTTAAAATAATAATTCACTTGAATACAGTATACATTTTTCTCTGTGCGCGATCGATTTCTCGATCGCATTGTGTAAATATCTATCTATCTTGGGAAATGATTTGTAAAGCGACTCTCTTCTTTCTATCCTGGCACTGAACGACAGCGCCGATTTTCTTCTTTTTGCAGATCTTTCGCGATCTCGCATCGATTTTGCATTGTAAATTCCGATACGAGGCGTTCGCTTTGCGAGTGACGTAAATCACGTTTCCAAATTTCCTCGGTACAGGAAGATGCGATCTCGGTTATTAAACGCGAAGTATTTTTCACACTGCGAAAGATTTTTCAAATCACTTAGGCCCAGTTTCACAACTCGAGTTAATCCGAGTTTAATACGTTAAACTGGATCCTGATTGGTCCATTCGCTATTTAAACTCGGATTAACTGGATTGTGGAACTGGGCCTTATTGGGAAAATAAATTACCATCGCGGGTAGAGGGGCGCTCGTGTCGCATAACAAATATATGGCTGTCGCAAAGGGCGATTTGACATTTAAGAATATTGTTTTAAAAATTGTTGAGAAAACGCAAATGTTGTCACTGCGTTTAGATACTTTGCGTAGCTATACCAATGCTACACCCTCTTCAAGAAATATGATTGAAGGCCAGAATGTAATAAATTCTGGCTTAATTATCACGTGCGGTAAAAAGTCGTGAACAAATTTATTTATTTTTCTTGTATCTTCATTTTTTTGTTTATTCTAATACTTCTCAATGTATTATTCACTTTTATTTCATAGAAACATACTGATTGCCGTATCTAAACAATATTAAGTCGCCCTTTGCGACGGCCATGTTTTTTAGTTTGCGTTCCACTAGTGTCGCATGGTAAATTTATATTCCCAATAAAAGTAAACGCCTCGTGCGAGCTGCGAGGATTGTACATTTTGTCGAATATCGACGATCTCGATCGCGTTTCTTATTCGCTCTTCTTTCGATTCGGACGATATATAACTTATGAATCAATCAGAAGGAGAGATTTTACCTTTTTTGGCGCGATTACGCTGAGAATCGTGCTACGGATTACTTGTGATAAACGCAATCAAATTGGGAGATCATGCCTTGTACCGAATGCACCTTCGAGAGACTCGAGCATTCCGCTAGTTTTGGAAACTTCTACATACTTTGGTGCATACAAATTGATAAATTAATTCTAAGGAGTACGGTGCTGTATTATAACTGAGCAAGAACGTGTATTAGGGCGGTATGTTATAATGACGCGTGTTCTAAACGTATCAGACGACAAAATCGATGGCAATTGAGCATTCATTCTATAAAAAATGAAAGAATTTAGTTTATAAATCAATACATGTTTCTTTTTTTTTTTTAATATTATATACGGTTTTACATTTTTTCACTATAATCATTTCTCTTACATGATTTTATATTATTGAATCTTGAATGATAAAATAAGGCATTACATTTTTTTTAGGATTAAAAAGAAGGAGGTTATATATAAAAGTGTATATATTAAAAGACAAGATTTTTGCATCAAGTATATACTAGTGTATATATATATATATATGTATACACATATATGTGTAAAAAATTTTGAATTGTTACAAACGTGTAAAAATATGTAAAAAGAATTGTTTTTGTATATTCTATAAATATTTTAAATTAATCGATTTAAAAGATCATCTATAAATATATATATTCAGTATATCTATATAACGTATTAACAAAAGTGTCGCCAGAAGACGCGTTCACTATAACCTCGCCCGTGCACCCGATTAACGTGGTCCGATTCTTCGATATTTTTCCGACGTGCCTCGTTGTCGTTTCGCCAACAACGCGTTGATTGGATTACATCGAAATGACTTCGTTTTTGAACCCCGCTTTTCAAAGAACTAGCGCTATTAAGGTTGTACAAATGGAACGGTATCGGGGAGCAGTCGTTTGTCGCCAGTCGTGCTGAAACTTGTCAAAGAATTGCCATCCTAAGAAGGATGAACACGATATAGACTCGTGGTAAACATTCTTTAGCTATATAACGTGCGTCTATTAATCGGATTATGCGCGATTAGTGACGTATATAGAGGGTTACGGTCGAGGCGATCATGTATATAAAAGTATACGATGAGGCGATCATGCTTATCTTGTCAATACAAGATATCCGAAGAACTGATTTTAATTAATCCAACGATTGTTTTATTAAAATATGAATCATTTTTTTATACGCAAAAATACATATTAGATACAAATTGTTACAGTTTTTGTCGCTGATAAAATTTAAAAATCTGTTATGATAAACTGTATACGAAAAAAATTGAAAAAAACAAAAAATTTAATTTCGCCTTATATACATGAAGCTCGTCCGTTGGTGCGCCTGCCTGAGGATGACGTAGGCCGTCCTTATCAGCGACTCTCCCGGGAAAATCCCTTAGCTCTTAAGCCAGCGAGTCACGTTCTCCTTGATTCTTCTACGCGACCACATCGCGTAGAACCCCATTTCGTCATATGTGCATCTAGTCTTGTCCAGTATGCCCTTATAACTTGCGCGCAGTGCGTATGCGCGTGGTCGCATACTAACACACTCATATACATACATGCACACACGATATATACAGGAGTACACACAATGATCGCCGGGACCGCGTTCGCCACGTGTCGCATGCCGTCGAGAGATCATCGCGACCGAGCGACGTCGGTTCTCTACGGCATTGGTCATCATACCGGGATGAAAGACGTCCGCATTGCTCGAATACACACACATTCGCCATCTTCGTACATTCATACATTAGCAACATAGGAGATCGTATATTTTAATATACCAAGATTGTAGGCTTAGTCCGAAGATGCTCGCAAGTTATCGTTATCGCGACGGTTCAATATCTGCAATAAAAAGAAACCAACTCCCCTTTGCGACTTTGAGAATTGTACACCGGATGTTCAATGTGTTTTTAATCTCTCCGTTCGAGCCTCGATAAAGTTATTTGCAATCTGAGAAAAGTTCTCAAGTAAAGAGACGGTTAACATATTCTCTCTTCGAAGAACTTGCATCGCGCAAGCTCGAAGAACTTTTTGGATCGTAGATATAGCAAACGGAAAGATTAAAGCGAGACACCTTATAGAGACAAGCGAGCAATAACAAAGCAATTTTACCTCCGTTTTGCGCATTATCTTATACGAGACCGATCGCGAAGAAAAATACTTGACGAGTGAATGAGGAAAAATTGCGATTACGCGCTATATCGGTCGGGCTGTTACGCAATTCTTCGTAAATAACGTTCATGTAACGAGAATTTTCGAATTTTTTCAATCATCTATTTCAGTCAGCGTAAAATCACTTTAATATATATAAGAAATTAAATATATATATATATATATATATATATATATATATATATATACAGGGTGTCACTTAATTAGCACCCACTATTTATATAGCGATATTCCTCGTGGAAAACTGAGTCGAAAAGTCCTGAACCATTTTTTTCTGTAATGAAAAAAATTTGAAACCATTTGTTTGAAATCATTTTTTTTTAAATCATTTTTTTTCTTCTATAATGGAAAAACTTTAAATCATATTTCTTCCGTTAAAAGCGTTTCTTTGAAGAACATTTTGTCAAGGAAGCTAAAGGTCGGTGCTTATTGGCGCAACTTTACTCAATAATTACCGCTTTATTAAGCATTATAATAAACATAACAAATATATACAGGATGGTCTCGAATGTTCCAGCCAAACTTTGAGATCTTATAGGAAATTTAATTTTGAACAAAAAATTTCCTATAAACATGGGTTGAAAAATGCTTCCTTAAGAAGTTATCACTCAAAAATCTCTGATGAAGGAAGAGCAAAAGGTGAAAAGAAAATGAAATAAAAAGAAAATGAAACTAAATAAATTGCTTGAAAAAAACGATAAAAATAAAAATCTTTTTCTTTTATGAAAATAAAATAAAAGTTAGTTAAAAAAAAATTATTTTATTTTCATAACAGAAAAAGATTTTTATTTTTTATTTTTAACGTTTTTTTCAAGAAATTTATTTAGTTACATTTTCGTTTCATTTTCTTTTCATCTTTTGCTCTTTCTTCATCAGAGATTTTTGAGCGATAACTTCTTAAGGAAGCATTTTTCGACGCATGTTTATAGGAAATTTTTTGTTCAGAATTAAATTTTCTATAAGATTTCAAAGTCTGACTGGAACGTTCACCCTGTATATATATATATATATTTATGTTTATTTTTACGGAAAGAGACATTTAAAAATTATTTTTACGGAAAGAGACATTTAAAAATCGCGCAACGTGAAATCGACATTTGATTAATACGAGGGATTGTGTAAAAAGCCTTTGTCACTCGACAAAATGTATTTCTCTTCGTGCGGATGTTGCGTAACATCGACGCAAAATTTACTCGGTGTGCGTGGCATGCGAACGCAACGCGGACCACACCTATCGATTTATTCGCGAGTCGTGTCTTCGACATGCGAGGAAATATATTTCGCTGAAAATATTTTTCGAATTATGTTGGAATAGACGGTCGCAAGGAAACGATACACGTCTATAAATATGTGAAAAATTTATCTTTTTGAGTATATGACGCTCGTCTCGTATTATTCGAGAGCTTTTTTGATGGGACAACGGAGCTTCAATCAAATTAATTGATTAACGCGCTAACGATAGGCGAATCGACTCTCTTCGCGACAGAGATCGCGATCGATCTTTTATACTTTAGAACGCACGTTTTATCGATTCGAGAAGGAGGAGGAGGACGCCAGAAAAAAAACTTGCGCAAATTTACGCGCTTAGCTTTTGTGATTACCCGTCAATCTCGTTC